CTTCTTCCGTGAGCTTGTGAGGCACACCATGGGTAAGGGGGGGTCCAATGCTGGACACCTGTGTGGCACTGTCCCTCCACTCAAGACCTGGCCTTTTGTGCCCGTGGGGACAGGGAGTGGCCTTGGACCCGCCTCTGGGCTCTGTGCAGGGGAAACCCCACAGGAAACGGGCCTGGCCAAATGGCCGCCCTTCCCGTTCTCGTCCCTGGGACACGAATGTGCTGTCTCACTTCCGGAGGAGCCTAGGGAGGCTGACTGCCCTGTGGGGCCTCGCCTGCCCCAGCTAGTGTCCCAGACCCTGCAGGGATGGGGCAGCCTCAGCTGGGCTGGGCTGGAGCTGGAAGGCAAAAAGTGTTGCCAGTGCGTGCGTGGTGCGTGCATGCGTGTATGTGAGCTAGACATTTTTCCCTTCCCACCTGGACACTGGTCTCCTCCTACCGGTGACATGTCCATGGGTCCATCATCCTGCTTGGCCCTGTCCTAGTTACACATGGAGTACTCATGGTATCCTCACTGCAACTTATGAAGTAGATGCTATTCTTATTCCTGTTTTGCAGATGGGAAAACTGAAGCCCAGAGAGGCTGAGTCACCCAGCTGGGAAGCTGCAGAGCTGGGGTTCAGACCCAGGCAGGCTGGCTCCAGAGCTAGTGTCTTCCAGTCACAGGACTCTTCTAGGAAGTGTCCAGTTACTGAATGCTTAGAGTCTGTGTTCAAAGGAATCTTGTGCTTAGTTTGATGCTCTGATGTTGCTGTCTTGAAGTTTTTAATAGTTAAATTACATGGCATCCCGCAAACTCTGTAGCTGATTCCTGGTACTGGACACTTGTTCACATATACACTTTTGTTGAAACCTCCCTGGGCTACACAGTAGAGGCTCTTGGCTCCATTTTACAGATGGGTATACTGAGGCTTAGAGGGTGATGATTGCATCTTTCAGCTCAAATCTGAGGCTCTGCAGTGTGTGTACCCGGGGACTGAGCTGGGTGCTCTCTGGCAGCACCTGCTTTGCTTGGATGTGGGGAAGTCTGGGCAGGGCCAGGCGCAGGACTGGCCACTGGAGCCAGGGCCACAGGGGGCGGGGGCCTGGTGGTTTCCTCCTGCCCTTCAGGCTCGGAAGTGGCGCCAGCTGGGGTGAGATCACTTCCTCACCCGCCTGCCCGCCACCCCCTCGGCTTCCTCTCATCCCGGCCCCATTTGGCCTGGCCAGGGCGTAGGGGTGGGGGACAGGGGGAGCTGGCTCTGTAAGTTCCCAAAGGCTCCTCAGCCTAAATGGACTTCTTAAATTCTGAGACCAGGGCAAGGCCAGGGCCAGCCTGCTGATCCTGAGGTTGATACACCTGGTAAGGGGTCTTGGTTGCAACACCTCAGAGGAAGGGGGGCTTCAAGTCTCATCACCTCCTTTCTTCTCTCTCCCCACCAGGTGGTAGCAGCAGGCCCTGCCCGTGCCCCCACCCTGTGCCATGGCCGGCGGGGGTTCCTGGGGATGGGATTTGCTGCCTGTCACAAATCACATTGCCAGGGATTTCCAACCGACCCTGGGCCCTGCCTCGGGGTTACCGACACTGCCACCACCACGGAGATGCCATCTGGGGATGGGGTGACCTGTGCTTGGCCTGAGGAGCAGGGCTTAGCTGCTTGTGAGCAGGGTCCACACCAAGTCGTGTTCACAGTGGCTAAGTTCCGCCCCCCGGGCTCCCGCCTCCTCCTCTGGCCCTGCTGCCCTCCCCTCACCATGGGGCCTCCCCAAGCTCCCCTGGGCTCTGCCTCCCGTGCCTACTGAGCTGAAACACAGTTGATTTGGGCAGACTGGCTCAGTTCAGCAGGAACAGGAGTTGTGCCTCCTCGGAGCCTGTGGCCCCCGCCGTCTCTGGTCAGAGACTCAGATCCAGACCTGTATGTGTCCAGAGGAGGGACATGGGGAGAAATGGCCTTCAGGATTGGGGTAGGTGGGCCTAGCTGTCTGTGGCAGGTCCCCTCCACCAGACTGCACTGGCAGACCCCCCACGTGGCCTCGAAGCATTGGGCTGGGCAGGGCTCCCAGTAGGCCCTTCTGTGAAGAAGGGAAGCCAGCTGTGTCCCCATCCTGGAAGACCCCCCCCTCCCCAGGCCCGGAGCCTTAACCCCTCCTCTCCCTAAGCCTGACTAGGGAACAAGTCAGGCTTGGCCCACACCTCCTGCTGCCAGTTACCCAAGAGGAAGCTGTGTTGGGCCCCCCAGACGGTTAAATGCCAACTCCAGGTTTCCGGAACCAGGTTGGCCCCGTCTCCCTGGGCCCTGCAGCCTCCTAACTTGTGGGGAGGAGCAGCGACCCCCTCTTCTGCCATACAGGGCAGGGATCAAAACTCCTGTGGACCCAGAAAGGCCACTAGCTAGTAGTAGGCCTTGGGTGATTCCAAGGCATGGAAACAAGCTAAGAGTGCCCAGGATTCTGAGTTAAGATGAGTGGGGTTGGGGAGGCAGTGTGGCCCCTCACTAAAGCATCTGATGCCCCCCTGCCCTTTCGGCCCTCAGGGCTCACCCAGTAGGCCCCATCCCCACCAGGGAGGGGCATACAGAAGCTTGGGAAGGAGGAAGGGTTTGTGCGTTGTGTTGTCTGTTCAATAAAGTCATCCTTGCTTCATTGTTTTGTGATTTGCGTCACCCTTTCGTAGGGAGTTCTGTTTTTTTGGGTGGGAGGGTAGATCAAACAGGTCCTGGGGCTCCTGGCTACACAAGAGCCCTATCACCCACCTGCTCTTGGGAAGGTGGCAGTTTAGTCACAGGGACAAAAGGGAGTGCCGTGGGCTTGGAAGGGTATTCTTGAAGAGCCTCTTAGTGTTGTTAGGGGGTTGGTTATTCTGAGGGAAACCCTGGACTGGTATTCAGGGTCAGTGAGGTTTGAGAGAAGTTGACAGGAAGAGAGCTGTTCTTAGATAACAATGAGCCCCCTCTCTGGGGCTGATGAAACCTGAGCAGAAACGTCAGGTGTTCCACTTGAGTCGGTAAGGGGGAGTGAGGGAATCCCTGGGCCTGAAAGATGACACTCAGGGATAATCAGGACCCATAGATGATGAACCGTGCTGGCACTAGTGATCTTTGGGGACGACTGGGGACCTAAAAGATAACTGAGGGGAGTGCTGGAGGGGAGCCTGAGCTTGAGAATTTGTGACATTAGGAAACCCCAGGCCCAAGAAGGGGCATTTTGAGTGACTGGGGCCTAAAGAGTGCCCTAGGCTCGAAAGAAGACAGTTGGGGTGGCTGGGACTCTTAAGAGGTGACGCTGAAGCTACGCCGGCACTAAGTACTCAGCCCGCGCATCTAGGCCTCCAGGCGGCGCCAAGATGTGCGCCGGCCAGCCCCCCGCCTGCCCACACATACCTGTGGCGCGCATGGGGCGGGGCAGGGGGCGGTGCCGCCTCCAATTGGGCTCCCAGAACGGATGGCGGCGCCAAGAGCCAATCGTCGTCACCACCCCGCCCTCGTCTACGCGCACCGCCTCCGTGTCCTCTGTCGACACGACACGCCCAGTCCTGCTCTAAGCCCCGCCCCTCCAAGAGTCTCTGTCCTCGCCTGCCCCGGCGCTGACAGTGACCTAGGCTCAGGCCACTGCCATGAGTACCCCTGTTTGTCCGTCAGCAGGAAGAACCCGAGGGAGCTGCTTCTCGGGGAGTCAAGGAAGGGAAGCAATCTAAGACTTTCCCTTCGTCCTCAAGATCCCTCATTCTATTTGAGGGCTGGGAGTCCCCTCGATGGCGCAAGCACAGCCGACCCGCACTGACCACACCTTCACCGCGTGCCGCCGTCTTGGCCACGCCCACACCACCCACTCGTCAAGCCAGAAGATCTACCCACCAGGGCGTGGCCTAAACAAGCCCGCAGCCGGGTTCTTCCGGCGGTGTGGGTTCTCCACGCTGTTACAGGTATACGTGGTTCCGAAAGAACCCAGCTCCGTGATCCGCTCAGCTCCCTATCACTGCGCATTGTGATGTAACGACCTGGTCATGGCCAGAAGCAGCTCGCGTGCTGCGCAACTTGGGAGACCATAGTCCCAATGTCGTGTGGCTGGAGCCAGGGCGCTCCCTAGTGGCCATTTCCAGCTGTGCAGGGGCCACGTAGCCCCTTGTGGGCGGAAGGACACTAAGTTGAGCTCCACTTCCTGACATTTTGGGAAACTTTTGAACCTTCGTTTTCCCATCGGTAAAATGAAAATAATCCAACCTCACAGGGCCCTGTAACGAACGACACAGGCAAATAGCTTAAATACCTGCTTGCCATTATGACCATTTGATGAAAGCTGTGCCCAGAAAGGAAGTCAGATTTTCTGTGGAGGGACTAGAACGGCGAGTTCTAGCCCAGGTGTACATAGCGCACTTAAAATGAAAACGAAAAAGCTGTGTTGTTTTTTAAAAATGAAAAGGAAATACAATATACGGTTCAATAAATAGAAAAAATTTTACAAAACGGTATGATCCCTAATTTACAGGAGAGGAGGTAGAGGGCTAACTAGGGGTGGGATGTGCGCCCCTTCTCCTCCCTGGGTCAAGCAGGGAAAGGAGGTTGAAGAGACAGCAGCTGGGACTTACACAAATAGAAAGGCAACTATGAAACGTGGAGAGGGAGAGTAAGCTGAAGGGGATGAGGCAGGAGACAGGGGAGAGAGACGGCCTGATGGACAGCCATTAATAAGGGGACCCAGTCCCTGGCTCTCTCAGTTTGGGGGACAGCGTGAGCCTTGCTCTTGTTCCTGAGTTGTGTCCAGTGACTAACAGGTGCAGGGGGAGGGGTAACAAGGACCCCAGCCCACCCTGGGACCCTGGTGCTGAAGGGGGTGGGGATGGGATTCCAACTGGAAGGGGGGTGTGAGGTATGCCACTGAGACCTGAGGCCTCTTCAAATCCTTCACTGGGCAGCCTGGGAGGGGGTGCAAAGGGAGGGATAGGGCCTGATGCCGTGAAGGGAGGATGATGAGCCACGGGACTCCAGGGATCCTGGCAAGAATCCCCCTGTTGTTGCAGGCGAAGGGTATGGGGGGATCTGCTACATTGCCTTTGAAGGCTATTTCTGGAAAGTCCTGCCTCCCAGCCCCCACAGAGCCCAAAACCGGGCCTGCAAATTGAGGAAGGGGAGCTTGCCTATTGCTTTTGGGGTGCCCATGCACACAGCAGCCCAATCGCACACCTCCCTCCAGGCCTATGGGTGGTGGCTATGGCTTCTGATCCTCATTCCTCGCATACTCCTAGGCACGCATATGGTAGGATAACACCCCTTGCCCCCCACTTCCATCTTGCGCCCCGCCTGACTCCCTCCCTGACTTAATACTGAAATGCCACCTGGGCCTCCATTGCCGAGGCCCCCTGTGGAAAGCGGTGCAGGAGGGGCGGGGGCACAAGGGATGGCCCCGCCCTCAGCCGAAACGCTCTCGCACCAAAAGCATGAGCTTCTTTTTGCCCTTGTAGGTCTGTTTGAGGTTCTCCAAGAACTGGGTGAACTGAAGGTGCCCATCGGGCGCCAGCAGGAAAGTCTCGCGAGCTTTGCCCAGAAACTCAATGAAGTCGCCATAGTGCCTCGGGCTGATATGGGTGAGGCGCGAGTGGCTTGTGGTAATGTAGGCAGACACCGCAGCCTCCAGAAGCTGGCAGAGGGGCGCCCGGTCAGCACCCAGGGGCTTGGCAGCCCGTCGGGCTCCAAGGGGTCCCAGGCCAGGAGCCGAGAGGGTCCAGCGGCGCAGGATGTCTGAGAGCATAGGGGCACAATGGACGCTGCGGATGATGAGCGGCACAATGGCGGAGAGCTCGTGGCGGCCCAGGGAGTGGCTCAGCGAGCAGGCCCAGAGCACGTCGTTGACGGCTGGGTGGCTGTCCTGGTTGAAGGCGATGCTGAGCTGTGCCAGCGCCAGCGTCGCCAGCTTGTAGGCTCGCAGTGGCAGGCCACGATGCTCCATGTAGCGGGCCACAGTGAAGAGGTGAGCGTGACCCAGGCCGCCAGCTGCCGCGTCCAGCACGATCTGGTAGGCGGCCTCGAAGGCGGCGTGGTTTTTCTCACACAGGGTGAGGGCGGGCAAGGCACAGTTTTGCGGGTCCTTCATGGCGCACTGTAGGGCCAGCGTGCGAGCACAGGCCCAGAGCTCCTCCCGCCGCGGCCCGTCCACTTGCAGCCGCAGCAGTGTGGCATGTGTGGTGCCTGTCACTGCCACGATGGTGGCTGCTTCCACTGGTGTGAATAAGGAGTACCAGTTTTGCATGATGTTCATCAGGGCTTGTGGACCTGGTGGGCAGCGAGAGGGAGAAACTCAGGAAGAGGGGCAATGTACTTGGGCGCATGCGTTTAGGAAACAGTATCATCTTGGCCAGCTGGAGTTGAAGATACCCCCTCCCCCACCTCCACTTTCTGCTCCACAGAAACTGGGTCTTACTTGTCCCCAAAGTAGGGCAGCTGGATGAAGCCAGACTAGGTTGGAACTAATGTAGGGGGTTAGAGCCCTGGTGTGGTGCTGTGGGTTAATGCGCTGGACTGCAAAGTTGGTTTGAACCACAAGGTCAGCAGCTCAGCCACTCCTGGAAACCCTATACAGGGGTTTCCTATGAATCCTAACAAATGTAGTATGGGAGTTCGGTGCCACTGTAGGATAATCAATCTCTGGACTGAGAACCACAAGGTCAGTGGCTGGAGCCCACCAGCTGCTCTGTAGGAGAAAGAACAGGCTTTCTGCTCCCGCAAAGATTTACAGACTGGGACACCCTATACAGGGTCACTATGAGTTAGCCAGCCTCCAAATCTTTGTCCATTATTGGTTCCCCCACCTGATGCTCCCTCCCAGCCTAGCCCTGCTGGAGTCCGGGAAAAGGCTGGGCTTCTTGCCTAGGAACCCTGATGGCGCAGTGGGTTAAGTTAGCACTACTAATTTAGCAGTTGGCAGTTCAAACCCACCAGCTGTTCCTAGGGCAAAAAAATACAGCTCTCTGCTCCCGTGAAGATTTAGTGTCAGAAATCCTATGGGGTTCTACTCTCCCCTATAGGATAGCTATGAATCAGAATCAGTCTATAGCAGTGGGTTTGCTTGTGGGTTTTTTCTCTCTTGCCTGCCTGGTCTCCTAGTGAAACCTATAGAACCTGAACAGGGGGGCAGGTGGAAGGTACCCTTGGGGACTGCACTGGGATCAAAGAGTATCCTCCCAAAATTCATGATCACTTGGAACCTGTGAATGTAACCTTATTTGGAAGTAGTGTCTTTACAGATGTACCCAGGCTAAAATGAGGCCATATTAGATTAGGGTGGGCCTAATCTACTAATTTGGGTCCAGCCATACAGGTTCCAGACACCAGGAGGAGTCCTGGTGTGGCATTGTAGAATAAGCATTGGACTGCTAACCACAAGGTTGGTGGCTCAAACCCACGAGATGCTCCTCAGAAACCTTATACACGGTTGCAATGAGTCGGAACTGACTCAGTGGCACTTAACAACAATACCACACACAGGGAAGATGGTTAAGTGACACTCGAAACTGGGATTATGTTGCCACAAATCAAGAAACACCAAGGGTTGCTGCTGGAAGAGACAAGGTCAGAGTCTTCTGTGCAGCTTTTGGGGGAGTGAGGTCCTGCCAGGACCTTGATTTCTGACTTTCGGTCTCTGGATTGTGAGAGAAAACTTTTCTGTCATTGAAGCCACCTTAATGACAGGTCCTTTGTTAGGGCAGCCCCAGGACCCTTGGACGAGCTCTCACCGATCTCCGTGGCGCAGCTGACCAGCCAGCGCACCATCTCCCTGCGCCGCCATGTCATGGTATTCAGGGTCATCCGCATGACCTGTCAGGAGGGGTGGGAGAGAAGGGGGCGGGTCACCCAAAGTGTTGGGATGCCCTAGTGAGAGGGTCATTCTGAAAGTGAAAGGCTGCTCAGTGAGCCTCACAGCCTGGGGCAGTGACTCAGAGGATGGCAGCAGTTACTATCACTGCTCTTGTTAGTACTGTTCTGAGACGCAGTGGACACTGTCCTGCTCAACAAACCAATCGGACTTTTCTTTCTGGAAAGTTCCAGGCTTCAGCTCAGCAGATTCACTTCTGAAGCCCCAAACAAAGCACCTACCCTGCAGGCATGGCCTTCTCCAGGCTCTACCCTCCAGTCAGCATCCAGCTTGCTTGCCTTTCCCCTGAGACCCCATCCTGGGGTCTAGCAGTGTGGACCCTGACTTTGGCAAGCTTCTTACTAGCCTGTCTCCTTGTCCTCTCTGCCAATGGCTTCACCCCGATAGGAGGCTGCCCTTGGTCAACCCCGGCCCCTACTCCGCTTGTTTTACCTGCAAGGTCCAGTACAGGACTGCCTCAAGCTGTTCCTCAGATGATCTTACTTCTGCCACCCTCTTTGGTCCCCACGGACCCCACACCTGTCCCTTCCAGGACCTTTGCTGTCCTATCCTGTCCCTTCTGAGTTGACTTCATACCTGCCAGCTCCATCCATGCTGTCCCTGACTTGGCCCCACAGGTCAAGCACGCCCACCCAGGCCTGCAGTCATGGCTGTCGACTGTAGACTTCAGCCCAGAGGTGGCTCTTACGACCCTCCTCTGACCCTCCTTCTTCACGAATGCCCCCAGTGCTGCCCACCCGTGGCCTGGGTTACAGGTGCCCCAGGCCCCAGTCCCATAGCCCACAGATTCTGCTCTGTTCCCTCTGGAGGTTCAGCCACTCATCTGCAGACCCTGTCTCTCCAGGGTCCCCCTGGTGGTCCTCATCCACAGACCTCCCTCTTACGTTCAGAACCTCTCCGCTGATGACTGCTATTCTTCCACTGCCTTGACCCTTGTGGCCCGCACCCACAGGAAGTACCTCCTCACCTCTGCCTGCTGGCCCTCACCTGCAGACCCAACTCCAGGGCGATGCCCAGCAGCGTGGTGTCTGGTGGCGCGCTGGCTGGGGTGGCCGTCTTGCAGGCGTCCTGCGCCAGCTTGAAGAGCAGGGCCGGTGAGTGGATGTTTTGCTGGATGGAGCCCAGTACTGCGTGCAGCCATTTGGGGTCTCCTGGGCAGGGGGAGAGACAGAGGCTGGAGGACACACGCCAGCATATGCACTGCCCCCACCTGACCTGTTCACATGTGTCTCTCAGGCCTGGTGCCCGTGTGTGAACCTGAAGGAGATGTAGCAGGCAGTGGTTCTGTGATGGTGTGGACCCACGGCCTCCCCTGCCTGCCCATTCTTTCCTCTGTACCTGCTGAGCTGCTCTGCCCAGCAAGGATGCCACTCAGGGACCTTCTGGACCCTAGTCATCCATCTGTTCTGCCACTTACTAGCCATGTGATGCTGGACAAGTCACTTCATCTCTCTGCCTCAGCTACCACATCTGTAAAGTGGGTAATAATGGGGGAAGGAGTACTGGTGGTGTAGTGGGTTATGGGTTGGGCTGCTAACCACAAGGTTAGCAGTTCAAATCCACCAGCTGCTCCTTGAGAGAAAGAAGAGGATTTCTGTTGCTTTAAAGATTTACAACCTTGGAAACCCTATACAGGGTTGTCATGAGTTGGAATCGACTCAATGGCAGTGGGCTTTGGGGCTGGTGGCATAGTGGTTGAGAGCTCAGCTGCTAACTGAAAGGTCAGTGGTTTAAACCCACTAACCATACTTCTACTTCTGTAAAGATCACAATCTCAGGTCCCATTGGGGGCAGTTCTACCCTATCCTACATGGTTACTATGAGTCTGAATTGACTCCACTGCAGCAGGTTAGTACCTGCCTCAAAGCGTTTCAATAGTTCATCCTAGCAAAGACTTCGACATCGTGCGAACAACATAAATAGGACCTTTTATCACTATCCCTATGACTGGCCCACGTCCTATAATTCTCCCCTCTCCTGCTCTTCACACTGACCCCTCATTGTCTAGCATCAGGGCCTTTGCACCTGCTCTTCCCTCTGCCTTTCCTCAGCTCCACAAGGCCCGCCCCGTTTGTCATTTGATTCTCTTTATTTTATTGTGTTTCTCTCTTTGTTTTCTTGTTTGAGTCTCTGGGTTGGAGCCCACAAGCCACTCCTTGGGAGAAAGCTGTAGCAGTCTGCTTCTATAAAGTTACAACCCTAGCAATCCTCTGAGGCAGTTCTACTGTTTGCTGTAGGGCTGCTGAGTTGGAAACCACTTACTAGTAGTGGGCTAGGTTTTGGTCTTTTATCTGGTTCACAGTCTAGATCCCCCTACTATGCTGGAAACCCCGCAGGGCAGGGATTTGGGACTGTTTTGTTCCCAGCTCTATCCCAGCAAGGAGCCCTGGTGGCACTGTGAGTTAAGCATTGGGCTAATGACCAAAAGGTCAGTGGTTCAAACCCACCAGCTACTCTGTGGGAGAAAGATGAGGCTGTCTGCTCCCATAAAGATTTACGGTCTCGGAAACCCTATGGCTCAATTCTCCTCTGTGCCGTATGGTTGCAATAAGTCGATCCCAGCACCTAGGACAGTGCCTAGTACACAGAAGGTGCTCGGGAAGCCTGGTGGCCTATGATCCAAGGGTAAAGGAGGTGGGAAGGGGCAGCTGCTGTCCTCACCCTTGGCTGCTGTCAGCATGGCGGAGGCCAGTTCACACTGGCGGGTCTCCAGGTGGCCCAAGATGAACCAGCGGGGGAAGCGGTTGCTCATGATGGAATCCAGTGGGCTGGGGTGAGGTTCTCCGGCTGGAAACGCTGTCTCCAGTACAGGCAGCCTGAAGTGAGGGACAAAGCACGCCTGTGGTGAGGTAGGCACCTTCTCTATCCTCTCTAGGAGAGACGGCCTCCTCCTGTGCCAGCCCGAACCACCCTCTGTGGCCAGCAGAGCCCTGGCCCCCAGAAGATGGAAAATGTGTTCTCAAGGATGTTCAAGTGTTGTTTATAACAGGAGATGTCAAAGTCCTAGAGATGCGCAACACTGGGGAGGTGCTTCATTTATGTACTGAGGACAACATGGCTGAAGAAAGAGGTTCCAACTCTCCCCTGTCACTTCCACCTCACTCCAGCCACACTGTTCCCCTCAGTGTCCTCCAACATACCAGGCTGTCCCACTGCTGGGTCTCTGCAGGAGCTGTGCCCTCTGTGCAGATCTCCCTGTGCGTCCTCCATCACCTGCTTCAGGTCTTTGCTCAGATACTTCCCCGACACCCCCAACACACATGAAACTGCCACTTTCTACTCCCAACTCCTTTGAGCCCTTCTTTGTTTTATTTTCTCCCTAGAATTTAGCACCATCTGACATACGCATAGTTTGCCTATTTTTTTTTTTTATTATTAGCTGTCGGGCTCTCTCTCACTAGAATGTCAGCTCTGTGAGGGCAGGGATTACTGTGTCTGCCAGAACAATGCCTGGAAGACGATAGGTGAACAGGAAATATTTATTGGATAAGTCTCCAAGTGGCTCACTTAAATGTACATACTTGTTTCCAGAGTAGTGCAAATGGGAAATGTGCTTAGAGAAATAACAATCAGAATGCTCCTTGGAAGCCAGGGTGGCGAGACTTTGTATCTCATACTTTACATATACTGTCAGGAGGGATCGGTCCCTGGAGAAGGACATCATGATTGGTAAAGTGGAAGGGTCAGCAAAAAAGAGGAAGACCCCCAACGAGATGGGTTGGCACAGTAGACGCAGCAGTGGATTCAAGCTTAACAACAATTGTGAGGATGGCGTAAGACTGGGAAGTGCTTCATTCGGTTGTGCATAAGGTTGCTATGAGTCAGCACCTAACAACAACTAACTGAAAGGTTGCAGGTTCGAGTCCAAGATCTTGCAAAAATCAGCTATTGAAAACCCTGTGGAACACAGTTCTACTGTGACACATGGGGTCTCTGTGAATTGAGATCTGGGGCAATTGGTTTTATATTCAGAAAGGTATTAAAGATATCTAGACATGACTAGAAGCACGGAGTAGGAGTCAGACAATTCTGGTTGAAACAGTTACAATTCCTGCTCTATGACCTTGTGGCAGTGCCTCAGGTCGCTTTTTTCATGTGCAAATTGTGGGTAAAAAATTTTACTCTGCTGGGCTGTTTTGATGAGTATATCAGGCAATATACATATGGGGCATGGAGTTGGTGACATAGGATAAGCACTGGACTGCTAACCACAAGGTCAGTGATTTAAAGCCACAAGCTGCTCCTCAGGAACCCTATATAGGGTCACTCTGAATCTGATTTGCCTCCGAGGCACTTAATAACAACAACATACATCAGGACTTAGACAAGAGGCTGGCACCCTCTTAAGGCAGTATTTTCAGTTTTGCTAGCCGTTTAGTCTCTTGAAAGGACCCAACTGTGCCATCGTAATGTGAAAACAGCCATAGACAATGTGTAAATAAACGGGGGTGGCTGTGTTCTAATAGAACTTGACTTCTGGACACGGAAGTTTGAATTTCATATCATTTGTATGTGTTACAAAGCATCCTTCTTTTGATCCCCTCCCCTCCCCCCCCCCCATCATTTAAAAGTATAGAAACACATTCTGCTCTTTGAAGACCTACCTAGCTGGGATAACAGCAACTCAGTGATTAGACAGAAAGCTTAGGGGGCAGTGAGTTTATGGTCATGGGGGAGGAGCAATTCCTCAGAGGAGGAGGGGGAGAATTGGCACACATCTGGGAGAATGTCATTAAACAGGGCACATAGAAATTATTGAATTGGTAGATGTTCTGCTGTATAGACTCAACAATAACAACAAAAAGTTAAATTAAAAAAATGTAAAAACCTAAATTCTTATCTCACAGATGGTACAAAAACAGGAGGCAAAGCAGATTTAGCCTGTGGGCTATAGTTGGCCAACCCCTGGCTTAGAAAGAAGTTTTGTACATAATAGAGTGTTTTCTAAATCACGGCTGTTATGGATTATTCTTTCCAAATATTCTGGAAAGACAAACCCTAAATTGTCAGGTGGCATCTCTGGAGGGTGGGTGGGATCAGATGGTGGGGAACAGATCTCTGTTATTTGGTGGGTATGGTTTTCTAGAGAGGGAGCTCTGAAATCTGGCTCTAAGATCTGTTGGTATGAGTGAGAAATGATAACAAGGTTATTTAAGGTATAATCAGCTTCAGGTTCTTCTGCGGTGGGTGCACTCCGTGGAACAAAGTAGGGGCTCATGGGTCCTGTCTACTAGGTGTTACAGTGTTCAGTGATACCAAGGTGGGAGGAGTATGTGCCGATGCTGCCATTTGTGTAAAAACTTTCAAGTTATAGATCGAGGGTTTGCGTAAATCTAGATTCAGATTCAGACTGAGAATTGGGGTGTGGAACTAAACTAGGGTCAGTATAGATACAAGTCTAAGACGTCTTGGTGCTGCTACAGTGGTTAAGCACTCAGCTGCTGAGTTTGAACCTACCAGTTGCCCTGACGGAGAAAGATAACAGTCGGCTTCCGTAAACAGCACAGCTTTGGAAACCCTATGAGCAGCTCTAAAGGGCTCCAGAGAGGAGAACTGGGTAGCGAGAAACAGCATGGACATGGACTTGCCGTTGTGAATTTTGTACCATGTAGATTTTTCTCAAGTTCAGAACATGATAACACATTTATATTTGATAATAACAAGCATGCTACAGCCCTTGACTGCCTGAGTGAGGGAGACTGGATTAACCAGGCTGAGTTCGGGTGGGAATGTGGGTCTGTCCCGAGCTGCCTTCCATATGTTTCCTGCTCCCTGCCCCATGTCTGCGTACCCAGACACCTCTCCTTACCTCATGGCTCGGAGTGCCAAGCGGTAGGCCAGATTGGGATCGTGAGGCAGCAATGCAGTGAACAGGTAGCGGGCACAGGTGTGCATGGGTACGCTCTCCCGGAACAGCACTTCTCCAAAGCCGCTGAAGGGACCTCCTGCAGGGGCAGCTTGAGCTCAGCCCCCAGGTGTGGGCTCCCCTCCACCCTTCCCTGGATATCCCCAAATCCTGGGGTCTGAATGGTGGATGGGTGGACCCCTGGAGAAAGTGGTTAGGGCTAGAGCAATCCTTGGGATGGGGATTGAACTGAAGCAAGACTAAACAATCTGAGGATGAAAGAACACACCTCTGGGTGGTGGACGGTACTGAGGCAGGGTGTGGCCAGAGGGTGGAGATGGGACTGAGGGAGGCACATCAACCCAAGACCAGCCCATACATTAGCATTTTGTTGTTAGGTGCCATCGAGTCTGTACCGACTCATAGCGACCCTATGCACAACAGAACGAAATACTGCCCAGTCCTCAGCCAACCTCACAATTGTTGCCACGCTTGAGTCCATTTGATGCTGCCACTTGGCCAATCCATCCTGTTGGGGGTCTTCCTCTTTTTCTGTGACCCTCCACCTTACCAAACATGATGTTCTTCTCCAGTGACTGGTCCCTCCTGACAATATGTCTGAAGTATGAGAGATGAAGTCTGGCCATCCTGGCCTCCAAGGAGTATTCTGGCTGCACTTTGTCCAACACAGATCTATTGGTTCTTTTGGCAGCCCATGGCACTTTCAATATTCTCCTCCAACATCATAACTCAAAAGCATTAATTCTTCTATGGTCTTCCTTATTCAATGTCCAGCTTTCACATGCATATGAGGTTACTGAAAATACCATGGCTTGGGTCAGGCGCACCTTAGTCCTCAAGCTGACATCCTTGCTCTTCAACACTTTAAAAAGGTCTTGTGCAGCAGATTTGCCTAATGCAATACATCATTTGGTTTCTTGACTGCTACTTCCATGAGTGTTGATAGTTGATCCAAGAAGAATGAAGTCCTTGACAGCTTCAATCTTTTCTCTGTTGATAAGAATGTTGTTTATTGGTCCAGTGGTAAGGATTTTTGTTTTCTTTACATTGCGATGCAATCCATACCGAAGGCTGTGTTCTTTCATCTTCATCAGTAAATAAGTCTTCTTCACTTTTAGTAAGCAAGGTTGTACATCTGCATATCGCAGGTTGTTATAAATTAGCATGTTGTTGTTGTTGTCAGGTGCCATCGAGTCAGAACCGACTCATAGCGACCCCATGCACAGCAGAATGAAACAATGTCCGATCCTGGGCCAACCTCACTACCGCTGCCACACTTGAGTCCATCAATGATGCCACCTGGCTGATCCATCTCGTTGGGGGTCTTCCTCTGACCCTCCACCCTACCCAGCATGACATCCTTTGTTAAGTGCTGTGGGGCCTGTTTGGACTCTAAAGAGTTTCCATATTTGGCGCTGTTAGTTAATGCGCTGGACTGCAAAGTCCACTTGAACCTGGAGGCCAGGTGGTTCAACTTCACCAGCTGCTCCTTGGAAACCCTATACAGGGTCGCAACCCGATGCTACGGCACTGAACAACAACAAGAACCCTGTATAGGGTTTTCAAGGAGCAACTGGTGAGTTTGAACTGCTGACCTTGTAGTTCAAATTGACCTTGTGGTCCAGTGCTTTATCCATTTCTATTGTAGCAGCTGGGCCAAGCATGTTCCAGGGGTCCTGGTGTGGCGTTGTAGGATACACACTGGATGGCTAACCAAACGGTTGGCGGTTCAAACCCACCAGCCACTTCTTGGAAACCCTATACAGGGTCACTATGAGTAGGAAGGAACTCATGGGCACTGAACAAGAAACAGGCTCCCAGAACTCATAGTACGGAGGTGAGACCATGGGCAGAACTAGAATCAAGGGCTGAGGCCTAAATGGTGGGTGGGAGTAGGGCAGCCACACTTTTTCAGTACCAGCTACTTGGTTTATTGGTGGGGAAATGGGCGGGGCCTCATTGGTGGCTGCAGTTAAGCCTCTTGCCAGCCAGCACATGCTAGGGGGCGGAACCAAAGTTTGGATTACAACTTTGAGGAGGAGCCTAGGTACTCTTAACAAATGACCTATGCAGATAACCCAACATTATTTGCTGAAAGTGAAGAGGGCCTTCAAGTGGTGAAAATCACAGACTATAGGATTACACCTCAACATAAAAACAAAATCTTCAAAACTCAACCAATGAGCCAACATCATGATAAACCAAGAAAAGGTTGAAGTTATTAAGGATCTAATTTTACTTGGATTCATAGTCAACACCCATGGAAGTAACAGTCAAGAAATTAAATGACGTGTTGCATTGGGCAAATCTGCTGCAAATGACTTCTTTCAAATGTTAGAAAACAAAGATGTCACTTTGAGGACTAAGGTGCACCTGACCAAGCCATGGAATTTCAGTGACCTCATATACATGGAAAGTTGAACAATGAATAAGGAAAACAGAGAAGAATTGATGGATTTGAATTATGACGTTGGTGAAGAATATTGAATAGGGCTGCCAGAAGAACCAACAAATCTGTGTTGGAAAAAGTGCTCAGAATGATCCTTAGAAGTACGATGGCCATGTTCATTGAACACACTATCAAGAGGGACCAGTCCCTGGAGAAGAGCATCATACTTGGAAAGTGAAGGGTCAGTGATGCAGTGGCTATAGCAATGGGCTCAACAATTTGAGAATGTCTCAGGATAGGACTCTGGTAGCATAGTGGTTACGAATCAGGCTGCGAACTGCAAGGTCAGCAGTTCGAAACTACCAGCTGTTCTGTGAGAGGAAGATGAGGCGTTCTGCTCCCGTAAAGATTTACAGCCTCGGAAACCCTGTACAGGGTCGCCTGGAGTCAGAATCGACTCCACGGCACAGAACCACCAGCATAGGGCAGTGTTTTGTTTTCTATGAGTCAAAACGGCACCTAACAAGGGCCATAAGGACCAGGAGGCGTGGCTACGGACGGGGCCTCACCTTCCAGCAACAGTTCCGCCTGCTTGCGCAGCACCTGTACCAGTCGCTCGTCCAGTTCCAGCTCCTCTAGTAGGGCCAACAGCTGCTCCTCATTGCGCACTACCTTGTCCTGGGCGTACAGTCCCTCAGGCAGGGCCCGCTGCTGCCCGAGACCCAGCAGCGCCACCTCCAGCGCAAGCGCAAAGTAGGATTCACTGGGGCTTCCGGGCACTGGCACGTGCTGGTAGGCCACTTTCCGCTTCTCAGGGCTTGCGTCTGTAGGAGATGGGCACAGGTTCTGGGGGACCCTATTCTCTGGGGCCCACCCAAGCAGGGAGAATGGGGAGTGGTGCTTAGGTGGGGAGCTAGCAGGGAAGCACTGGCCCCAAGGCATTAGGGACCCTTGGGTTAGCAGCAGAAAAGCCTACTGGTGCCTCGCTTTAATAGCTAAGCCTATTAGCGCTTGGCACACCTAGGGGGCGTGGCCAAGAGGGTGTGTTCACCCTATCTCTCCCAGAGGTCCCCAGTGTAGATACCTGGGTAAAGAGAAAGAGTCTCTTCCTCTAGGCGACAGGCCTCCAGGAGCGCCCTGCAGAGGCAGCCAATGGGGTCCAGGGGGTGGCCCACCCATCCTTCCGTGTTGGTGATGCAGGTAGAACCTTTCTGGAGCAGCTCTGCGGGCAGGAAAGGAGTTCAATGCCGGTGCGCCTCACGGATCCCATGTTCCCAGACATCCTCACGTGCCCACTCAGCGACTCCCTTCTCTGCCCCTTGAGGCCTATAGTTGCTCTCACCTGGAGTCCCACAGCCAGGCCTAGGCTGTATCCCTCCACACCTGTAACAGGATAAAGCTCGCAGGGCCCAGGACCAACACGGAGTTTTGTGTGGTGGATTTGCCTCCCGCCCTCCAATCTGCCTTTGCCGTTTCCTTCGTTATGGAACACTAGTCTCGTCCCCCGTTTCTTTTTTTCTATCTTGCTACCCTCTCTTTTAGGACTCGCTGTGGGATAATGCACTGGACTGCAAGGTTGGCAGTTCAAATTCACCAGCTACTCCTTGGGAATCCTATACAGGGTCGCTATGAATCAGAACTGACTCAAAGGCATTTAATAACAACAACCCCCTCTTCTGGAGTTCTGGTGTGGCACTGTGGGTTAATGCGCTGGACTGCAAAGTCAGTTTGAACTGCAAGGTCTCATTCCTAGGACACCCTATATGGTGTTGCTTTGGGTCGGAACCGACTCGACAGCATCTAACACCTTCAACACCCTCTCTTTTGGTGTCCTGGTGTGCCGCTGTAAGATAAGCACTAGATCTCAAGATCGGTTTGAACCCATCAGCCACTCTTTGGAAACGCTATACAGGGTTCCCATGTGTCGGAACTAAATTGATGGTACTTACAACAACAACAACCCTCTCTTAGTGGCAAGGGTTCTGACCATTTCCTCGAGTCCCAAGTTCTCCCCATTCCTCCTGCATTTACTTTTCTGACACACAATCCAATTACCCATGGAACTCACTTGGTATCCAATCCACCGACAGGTTGTTTTTGTAGTTTTTTTTTTTTTTTTTAAACACAAGTTTGAATTTGTGGCTCATGTTGAAAAACCAAAGAATTTTGTATTCGATAATCCAGATGTTTGGGTTCGTGATGACCCCCCAGCCTAGTTCTATATCCTTGAGAGGCAAATTCCAGTTTATTTGTGTGAGATGTGGAAGTGGGTGAGAAGAGACCAAGGGTGTAAGCAGGTATGGGACCGTCTGAAGGGTGTGGGGTCTGACCATCAGGTCCCGGTGCCCTCCGTCTGAGAACTGCCCCTTTGGTGGCTGCAGGTCCTGTGCCCACTGTTGGCAGTTTGCCATGACCTTCAATCCCACAGTCCTGTATCTCAAATTTCTTAAATTCCTTTCTGCTCAAGATACCTGGACTGGTTTGTTTTCCCTGTGGGTCTCATGGACCCTCTGGCTGGCCTTTGTATCCCCCAGCCCAGGGACGTGGTGTTGACACTGGGGCCCACCTTTTTTCTGCTGCTTGTAGCTCTCCAGCTGATGTCGCCGCTGCAGCCGCAGCGTGTTGACAATAGCACTTGCCAGCCTCAGGGCCTGGTGGGGGTATCCATGGGCACGCAGGGTATCCACGCGGGCGCAGGCAGTGGGGAAGGGCTCACCCAGCCAGAGGGGGTGGCCCTGGGGGTCGAAAGTCAGCTTGTCACCTCCTACACTGCTTTTGAGGCTGAGGCTGTAGGAGTCACTGGCCAGGATCCTCTGTAGATGGGCGTCGTTCCAGTGCAGCTCCCCGGCCTGCAGGGCTCGGCTGAACACCGTGTGGCGGGAACCTGCCACTGCCACCTCTAGGCCTGGGAGACAGGGGACCAGGTTGGCCTGGTGAGGGGGTTTGGGTGGTGGACGTGACCAGCCCACCCCCACTACCAGGTGCAGACTCTGGACTGGTCCTTGGGAAGACGAATGCGTGTATATCATCTCCCCAAGTCCTCACAGCAGCCCTTTGAAGGGGTCTAGATGTGGTGGGGGGCTATGTGAGCCCCACTGTATGGGCTGGAGGCTGAGGCTGAGTCGCCATTTCTTTTCCCCACCTCCATCTCTTTTTCTCTTCCTGTCTCCTCTCCATCTATCACCACCTCTCTCTCTTCTCCATCTTTCTCCTCATCTCTGTTTGTCTGTCTGGATTTCCCCCATCTTTTGCTTTCTCTGTCTCCATAGCTAGTAGTAGAAGGCTGAGCCAAGATACCAGCCAGAACCACAGGGGCCTTCGCCCCCCGGCACTGCCCACCACCCCTTGCCCTGGGCACGTACTATCCTTTGGCTGGAGTCCCCTTCTCTCCTGGGACAGGTACCCCTCTCCTACCTGAGCTGGGAGCCAGGGTAGGCTGGAGGCTGGGGCCGTCGAAGGCGTAGTTGCCCTCTTCCAGGGGGCAAACCTCCAGCTTGTCCCATTTGCACAGCAGCTGCAGCCAGCCGGCTCGCTCCTCAGGCTTGCAGTGGGGGCTCAGGACGACACAGACCCACAGGGCCCCTAAGAGGGGAGGGCAGCGACTACTTATTGAGCTTTTAGTGTGTAACAGGCCCCACTCTACTCAGCTCTTGCCCTGACTCTCAGGAGTTATGAGAGCTAATGATATCTTCACCTAATAGGTCAGACACCTGAGGCACGGAGAAGGAAAATTATTTGCCCACAGCCAGACTGCTATTAAGTTGGAAGGCAGAATTCGAATCTGGGCACCGATGCCTCTCCCTGTTTTTTTTCTATAGCATTTTTATCTAACATCTATGCAGAACATGTGTGCAGATCCATGGGATGACCATTTTTAAATGATTTAAAGAAAAATGAAAAAGATGACTATTTTGTGACTTGTAAAAATGATATGAAATTCAATTAAATAAATAAAAATGTCCATAAATAAAGCTTTATTGGAACCCAACCACACAAATGACACATAATGTTTATGTATCATGTATGGCTGCTTTCATGCTATAATGGCAGAGTTGGTTAGTTGTGATAGAGACGGTATGGCTAGCCAAGGTGAAAATACTGACTAGTCAAGTTATCCTGGATTGAAGAGTGTCCTCCCCCAAAATTCACATCCACCTAGAACCTGCGAATGTGACCTTATTTGGAAACAGGATCTTTGCATATATCACCAAGTTTGAGTTCTGCTATGGGTCAAATTGTGTGCCCCCAAAAGATACACTAACGTCCCAGCCACTGTGCCTGTTAATGTGACCTTTTGGGGGGAAATAAGGTCTTCCTTTAAAGTTAGGCATTGGATTGCGAATCCCAATGTCAATGGTTCAAACCCACCCACCGGCCACTCCTCTGGAGAATGATAAGGCTGTCTGCTCCCATATAGATTTACCATCTCGAAAACCCTATGTAGGGTCACTCTGTGTGGAAATCGACCTGAAGGCAGTGGGTTTTTGTTGTTGTTGAAGATATTACCAGTGAAATTGGAGTCCTGGTGTGGTGCTGTAGGATAATGCACTGGACTGCAAGGTCCGTTTGAACAGCGAAGTCATGGTTCAAAATCACCAGCCACTCCTGGGAAACCCTATACAGAGTCGCTATGAGTCGGAACTGACTCGACGGGACTTAACAGCAACAACAACCAGTGAAATTAATGAGGTCATACTGGAGGAGGGTGGGTCCTAATTTGATATGACTAACCCATTGCTGTCAAGTCAATGCCGACTCACAGTAACCCAGAAGAGAACTGCCTCATAGGGTTTTCCTGGCTGTAAATCTTTACGGAAGCAGACTGCCTCATCTTTCTCCCAGAGTGGCTGGTGGCCTTTTGTTTAGTACCTGAACCATCAGGGCTCCTTAATCCTATATGATTAGTATCTTATAGAAGAAGAGAGACTTGGTGACAGAGTCACACAAGAGGAAGACAGGACACCATGTGACAACTGGATAGATGCATCTATCAGCACAAAGGAATGTCAAGGATTGCAGGCAGTCTCTAGAAGAGAAGCATAGAACACTTCTTCTCTCAGAACCCTTAGAAGTAATCAACTAGCTGTAAGACAATACTTCTCTCTTCTTCAACGACACCTAGTTTGAGGTAATTTGTTATAGCGGCCTCAGAAGACTCAGACAAGGTCCTACTGGATTATGATGGAATCGAATCCAGTGACCAGAAAGAAGATGGAGATTTGGACCCAGAGACATGAACCGAGACCCAAAAGAGAATGCTAGGTTACAATGAAGGCAGGAATTAAGAGTGATACATCTACAAGCCAAAGACCATTAAGGATTGTTGGCACCCACCAGAAGCTACAAGAGGCCAAGAAGGATCCACCCCTAGAGGTGTTTGGTGGGGGACACAGCCCCGCTGAAAACTTGGCTTTGGACTTCTGGCCTCCAGAACTGTGAAGCCAGAAACAGTGGTTTTTAGCCCCTCAGAAAAAGTGTACTGAACTCTCGTCTCGTGTGTTGATTGCATTTTACCATCTTTTCCTCCCATGAGAATATCACCTCCACAAGGACAGGGATTTTGTCTCTTGTTCTCTGTTGGATTTCCAGTGCCCGGTATAGTACCTGCCACACAGTAGGTGCTCAATAAATGCATGACAAACGAATGGAGGAAGAGTTCATGGGCCAGACCCTCATCTCAAGCTGGAGTCTTACCCAGCTCGTCCCACAGCTGCCGGCACTTGTCAGTCATGCCCGCACCCTGCTGCCGCCACAGTGCCAGGCGTGGGTCCTGTAAGAACTGCTCCGTCATAAGGATCAGCATGCGTGCTCCATTGCAGTCCCGCATTCGCAGCATTTCCCGCACCTGTGTGGGGACGGCAGGTAAGGAGGGTGCGGGGTATCGATGTCAGGGACCCCTCAGCTTCCTTGCCCCCTGAGCCCACACAGCACCTTGCTGAACATGGAGCGCAACTGCTGACTGGCACCGTAGTAGCCACCATTGGACAGCAGCTGCTTCACCTGTTCCTGGATCTGCTCCTCATCCAGGTGCCAGCAGTTAGCATCTTCGATGCCTGCACCTGCTGTAGGGTCTGGGGCACCTGTGGGAAGGAAGGGACAGCTGAGGCTGTGATGGGGAGAAAGGGTGTCTGCCCCTACCCCACATTTCCATCCATCCATCTATCCTTATCAGTCCCACCCAGAACACCACTCCACCCCTGCATCCATCTGTTTATTCATCCACTCAGTCATGCATCTCATCTTAAACATTACCCATCATTCATCCACTTACTCATACATCATTCTTCCCTCTCACCTAAAACACCACTGGCCCATCCATCTGTCCCATTAAGAACACCACCCCACCCACCCACACATCCATTTACTCATCCACTCATCCATCCATCCACTCATCCACTCATCCATCCATCCACTCATCCACTCATCCATCCATCCACTCATCCATCCATCCACTCATCCATACATTGACCCAGGTACTCATCCGTCTATTTGTCCATTCTACCAGAAACACCACCCACCCATCCATCATCTGTCCATCCTGCCTGAAAACCACCAGCCCATTTATCTAAACCACTCCCACACCTGTCTACCCACTCAAGTCATGCTGTGCATTTACCCATTCATTTCTCCTGTATCAGTGCATCCACACATCAGTACCCCTCAGCAGACCTATCTACCCACCCTCCATTCATCTGTTAGCCACTCTACTCATAACTCCTACCCATATACTCACCTGTATACTCAACCCATTTATCCATCCAGCTACCTGCCCCATTTGCCTTACCAATCCATACAATCTATTCAAAATATTCACCCACCCACCCATCCACTGATGGTTGTAGTCTTACCATCCATCCACCCAAATAACCACAACACTGCATCCCCTACCAAACCATTCATCCATATGCGCATCTCCAAATATCTATCCTTCATTGGTCAATCCATCTGTTGTAAACAAAACACCCACCACTCTATCCATCTGTCATGCCAGTCCTCATAAATCTTTCACATACCTATCAATTCACCTCCAAGTCCACGAACCTTTTGGTCCTTCCATTCTTCCACTAACCCCGCCCGTCTACCACCATCAGTCTAACTTAACTTCCCAATTATCAAAGCGCTCCCCAGCCACTCACCCGTCCCTCTAATTACCACCAACTCCCTATTCATCTGTCTTACTTCGTCCTCACCCATCACTCACCCTATTGTTTATCCATACCATCAGTTCTCTCCAACACCCATCATCAATTATTTCTGCACCCATCCATTCCCACCCTCAATTACACATCTGTACCTCCATCTGTTGTTGTTGTGACGTGCCGACGAGTCGGTTCCGACTCATAGCGATCCGTATAGGGTTTCCAAGGAGCGGCTGGTGAGCTTGATCCGCCAACCTTGCAGTTTAAACTGACCTTGCAGTCCAGCGCATTAACCCACAGCATCACACCAGGAGTCCGTACTTCCATCTACTACTCATTAATCTACCTATCCCCATTCAACCCTATACTCCAACCATATACACAGCTCTTGTATCCCCCTAGCCCTCTCACAGACCTCCCAGTACCACCTGGTGTAGCTCCCCACTTACACTCCAACCGGACAGCCACTAATGTCAGCACATACCCTTCATGCCCCACACCCATCCACACCCAAGCTTATCCCTATGATCTCCATGTACCCCAATCCTAGTTTTCCCAACTCAGGCTCTTCCCTCCTGTCCTGCTCTCTGTCCGTGGCTGACTTTCATTTGTTTTTTAAACTATTCCCCTGCTCCAGGGTGAGAAGGAATCCGGGATCTGCCACACAGCAGGTGTGGGACTTGAGAAATGGTGCCCCTGCCCCATATGTATCAAGGGGATCTGAGGATTCTGTGATGACAGCTGGTCTGAGGCAGGTGAGGTGGCTTTGAGTGACCCCCTGCTTGGCCTGTCTGCCCCGTTTCCTTACCATGCACCAGGTTGATCTCAGAGCCCAGAAGGAGGATCTCGTCAGCCAAGCGCTGGGCAGTGGGCAGCACCTCAGTGTGGTGGGCGCTGATGAGGTATTGTACGAACTTCTGCAGCTGGTCCCGGTTCATCTGAGAAAGTGTCTCGGAGATGGGCAGCCGCAGCTCCACCTGGCGGGCATGCCGAATGCGGTGCAGTGACAGGGCCACCACGTGGGCGCAGTAAAAGAGGTCGCGATTGTCACAGCCGCAGCTCACAGATGTGATCTTGCAGCGGTCAAAGCTGATGGAGACGTGGTAGAGATGCTCGGGCTCGCCAGGGCTCCCCGGCTCCCGCACGTTCCCGCTCAGGTGGAACCCTAAGACCAGAGCCAGAAGGTCGGGGCTGTGTCCCTCCAGGGATGGGCAGGTCTGGTCCATGACCCAGGTACAAACCTAGCTGAATGAGTGACCTAGGGCAAGTCCCCTGACTTCTCTGAGCCTCAGTTTCCTCATCTGTTAAATGGGAATCAGTAAGAGTCCCTTCATTGGGTTGTTGTGAGCTAGTACTTGGCAAGTAATGTGGACGCTGTTGGTATACCTATACAGCATGTCCTAAAGAAATGCTTGCTCTTGATCGATTATAAATACTATTACAGCAATAATGTTGGAGATGGTTTTCTCAGACGGGTTACCATGGACACAGCCAGGGCTCCAGGAGCCCTGGAACTCTCTGGGAAGGTGCCAAAGGCTTGTGGCACTTGGGAGTGAGGGGCTGATGTGGCAGGCCACCCCATCACCCCTTACTCCTCCCTGGCCCCTGGGGAACCAGGTGCCAGGCTCATCCGACTGGTTGAGCCACTGGAGCGCCAGCCAGTCCTGGCTGCGTCATGCTGGTAGATGGCTTCCTCATACCGACTGGAGGCAGCCGAGACTGGCCAGCAGTGGAGGCCTGAGGCTGACAGGACCTAGGGAGGGTCATCTTGGCAGAGCCCTTGTTCCCATTAAAGGTCTGAGAAAGGGTTCTATTGCCTCAACCTCTTCTGGCCTCTCCTGGGCCCTCTGCCCAAGGTCATAGGCTGTCCTCCCTCTTTTTCCCTCCAACTAGACTCTGCACCCTTTCTGCCTTTGCTTCTGTCCCATAACCTTGTCCCCCTCCCCGGTTCTCACCTGGACTGCTTGAGGTCTACGATCATTTCCCATCTCCACCTTAACCTCTGCCCCTACCCTGCTCTCTGCCCTTGGACCTGAGGTCTAAAACCACCTCATAGCTGATCCTGAACTTCAACTTTCAACTCCCATCTGAGCCCCATTGTCTTAGAGCCTAAGGTCACCATCAGTGCGAGTTCTAATCCTCTGATGCCAACCTTTACCTGAGTCTCCCGCACCGAGGTCTAAGACTACCTCTGACCTCTGGCCCTAAACCTCTGCTTGTAACTCCCACCTGGGTCCCACTGTCAGACGTCTAGGACACTTTTTAATTTCTAGCTCTAACCCACCAGCCACTCCTTGGAAACCCTTGACAGCATTTAACCTTCTACCCTAATGTATCACTGGGACCCCAAGTTATCACTGGGCCTCGCTGCCTGAGATCTGGAACTCCTCTCTTCTGGTTTACAATCATTCCTCTAGCTCCAACTTGGACCCAGCTGCTTGGGACCACCCTCTACCCTCTGGCTCACCACCTTTCACCTTTAGTTCATAATCACAACCCCTTGGGGCCCAAAGCCTAAGGTCTAGCACTTTCTATCACCCTGTCTCACAACCTCTGTCCCCACTCTGCCAGGTAGTGACCCTCAGCTCTGTGTTCCATCCTGACGTGGGCCCCATTGCCCATGTTCTAGAACCTCCCCTATCTCCCTTCTGCTTCATCATTCTTCCCCACACCACCCTAAGCCCTACTGCCTGAGGTCTAGGGTCAGCCCTATCTCCTAACACCCTGTTATTGTTGTTAGGTGCCATCAAGTCAGTTCCGACTCACAGCGACCCTGTAAAGGGTTTCTGAGGAGCAAGTGGTGAGTTTGAACCACTGACCTTGCAGTTCAAATCTACCTTGCAAGGTGCATTATCCTGCAGTGCCACCCAGGACTCCCCTACAACCCTACTGGGCCTTAAAGCCTGAGGTCTAGAACTCCTCCACTGGGCCCACTGCCTGAGGGCCCTCCCTTTCCCAGCCCAGGCCTCCCAGTAAGGGGGGGAGCTTGGGGGTCACTCACCCACTTGCAGCACTCGGTCCACGGCCCCACTCTGCAACAGGTGCAGACCTCGGGTGAAGGGCACCCGGGCATCATGTTCGCCCTCTGGGGGCTGGTAGCCCAGCGACGAGTACATGCATATCTCCCGCTCGCTTCGTGGAAATGACCAGAACACAATGCGTTTCTGGACCGGCTCTGGCACACGGGAGAACCTCTCTTCCACCTGTGGGAGGGGGCCCGTGGGTTAGAAATCCAGGCTCAGTGCAAGGGCCTTGGGTTTGCATCCTGACTTTGCCAATTTCAAGCACTATATATGAATTTGGGCAAATCCCTTTGCCTCTCTGGGCCTCACTTTTGTCATGTGTACAATGGGGATGCAGCCACCTCCTTCCTGAGTGTTGTAAGGATTAATATGCAATAGTATATGTAAAGCACTTATAATAACACCTGGCCCACAGTTAGGGTTTCAGAACTTTCTGTTCCTTTGATCCTGGATGCCAGGCCCCACGGACTTTGAGGGGGCAGGAGGAAGGACAACAAAATCATAGGAAGAATCATCAAACCCCATATTTTCTTATCCCGTTGCTGTTAAGTGCCATCAAGTTGGTTCTGACTCATAGTGACCCTGTAGGGTTTCCCAGGAACGGCTGGTGGGTTTGAATTGCCGACCTTGTGGTTAGCAGTCGTTAACTACAGCACCACACTAGGCCTCCTTTACTTATTCTACATTATGCTAAATGCTTTATGTGTGTGATTTCCCTTAATTCTTATAATCACCACCCAGTGAGGTACTCATCATTACATACAGAGAATCTGAGGCTCAGGGGTAAGGTAAATTCACTTGCTTGGGGTCCCAGAGATGGTGAGACCCTGCTTTGTTCCTGAGCTTCCTCTCCATGCCCCTCCCCCAGGAAGGGCCCCCAGGAGGGGAGGGGTGTCCTAGCCACCCCTATGGGCTCCAGGCAATGAACTGAGCTGGTTGAGCCTGTGTTCCAATCTTACTAGTTACTGGCTGGGTGACCTTGAGCAAGTTTCTCAACCTCTCTGTGCCCCAGTTTCCTCACAAAGTGGGATTGAGAACAAGAACTCCCAAAGGGTTGCAGAGGATTCACTGAGCTTCCGGGGGGTGGGAGCTCTCCTAGTACCAGGGCTGGTGCAGGGAAGTACACAGAAGCCCCAGAGGTGATTTGAGGAGAAGTCATTGTGTCTTGCACACAATGTTGGCTACTGGGTTTTGGGAGGAGATAGGAGGGTCAGTGATGGCCGCAGTCCATGGGGACAGTTGGCAGATGACTAAGGAGGGATTTTCCAGGTCATGAATCAGAGCCTGCCCCATCCCCACTTGACCTAGACCAAGCTTCCTGGCAAAGTTCCTAACTCAGGAGAGGCTAGGGGAGCAAATACCATCCTTCATAGCTGGACAGAGCAAAGTCTGGGTTCTTTGGGGGCCCACAGATTTGGAAAGGGCAATTAAGGGTCCCAACTCTAGGACATCCTTGTGGTGCCTCCAGAAGCCACAGAGGCAGGGCTCCAAGTGCACCTGTCCAGGTACCAGGACCTGCTCCTACTGCCACTGACTCCCAGAGGGATTGGGATGGCGGGGGTGTGTGTGTGCAATCCCAGATAGGTGGGAGGTGGACTCAGTGGTACTGAAAGGGAGGGACAGGGCTTGAGAATGAGGGTGTGGAGAAGGGGATGGGGGGCTTCAAGACTGGGATCTGGAGAGGTGGGGGAAGTCTTCTATTGGGGTATATAGTACAGGAGTCTGGCGGGCAGGAGCCAGAGATGGATTCTCTGGGGCTGAGATCTGGGGAGATGGGTGTTGAGGGATTGTTAAGGGGAATGAGGATTCAGTGGGGGTAAGTTCTGGGGAATGAGATGAAAAAAGAGAGGCTCTCAGGCTTGTAGGAGTACCATGGGTTTGGATCCCAGGGATTTGGGGCAACGGGAAGAGATCAAAGTGTCCTGTGTTGGGATCTAGGGAGCTGAGGGGGTCCCTGAGTAATGCGCTGGTTTGTGGACTCGGGGAAAGAGATCAGTACAAGCGGCAGCGGCGGTAGGTCACAGGGACTGAAGGGCAGAAATGGGAGGACGGGGGTGGCTGGGGCGGGGTTTGGATCTTAAAGGGGTTCTCAGGGGTGTCTCTTGTGGGAGACAGGTCCGCAGATTGGCGGCTGGGCAGGCGAGGTGAAGGCCTGTTGGGGAATAGGCTGGGATGCATTCCCCGCTCCCCAAAACTCCCCCTCCCCCGGCTCGGTCACCTGCTCAAAGGCCCAGCTCTCCGCCACTCTCTTGGCGCTGAGGTCCAGCAGCGCCTCGGGCCGCCCCCGGACGCGCGCGGCCCCGGCCCCGGCATCGCGTTCCTCCGGTCCCGCGGGGCCGCCCCGGCTCCGCTTGGCCGCGGGGGGGTCCATCGGCCGGCCGGGGCCGGGGCGGGGCTGCCAGAGGTCGGTCAGATGCCCGCTCCGCTCCGCCGGTTCCCGCGCTCTCTGTCCTCCCTCCAGTTCTTCCTCGGCGCTCAGCCGCCCGGGGACCCCCGCCCCGTATCCACCCCCGCCCCGCGCCGGGCCGGCCGGGCGATGCGGCCCCTTTAAGATTCTTCACAACAATGAAGGTGCCTCAGCCGCCGCTTAATCCTCCGCCGTCGTCCCGCCCCCGCCGCCAGTCCCCATTGGCCCCCCCTGGTCTCCGGGGCCCTTCTCCGCCATTGGCGAGGCTGCCAGCTCGGTCTCCGAGATGTCGCTGCTCATTCGCTGCTAGTGCCTGCCCGTTTTTCGGGTCTACCCAATCAGAGTACGCAGCGAGGGGGACTGTCAATCACAGAGCGCTAGCGACCAATCGGAACGGGGAGACCCCCGCGGCGCCGTCCTTATGCGGAGTTTCGGGGCGGGTCCTAAATTCATTCACAACATTCCTCCCCCGCCCCCTCCGGCTGGACAGCGCGCCCCGGGCAGCTGGGGCTGCGCCCACACACGGCTTTGTTTACTGAGGGTCGCTTCCGGGAGCTGTGAGGGGATAATCTACACTGCCGGGCTGGGAGAGCGAGACGGAGCTGCAGGAACCCCGAACTTCTTCCTCTTGCCTGTAGGTCCCAGAACAACGCTCTCGGCCTCCCCGGGCGCTGGGTCAAGCCTAGATGATTTGCGGGGGTCACGGGCCCCTTTGAGGAGCTCTTGGGAGCAGCGGACTTCCGCCCCAGACGTAGAGCCCAATTAGGAGATTCAGGGAGCGCGGTGGCTCAATACGATAAAAGTATCGGATTGCGAAATACAAGGTTATCTCTTCGAGCCCATCAGCCGCTCCACGGGAGAAAGATGAGGCTTTCTGCTCCCACAAAGATTTAAAAAGCCTCGGAACCGACTCGAAGGCTCTTAACGCCAACGAGGAGGTTCAGAAAGCTTTGCTGAAGCCCATCCTTAACCCCAAGATAGGAACACCTCCAGTCCACTCTACGCCCTAAATATTAGTCGAATCCTATGAATTCGCCAATATTCGATTATCTTTTATTTCTAGAAAAGGCAATTTCGTAAAGTTAAAACAATATCAATATATGCTAAATCTGACCACCTCTGGTTATTTTTCTCTGCCTCCACCTTGTCCGACCTGGATTCCTCATTAAGTATCCCAGTCCCCCGCCAAGTCCTCGGAGAACCCTGCGTTTTCCCTTGGTCACACATGTCTCCGTTGTCATTACATTTATTTTCTAGTTCTGCACTGGTGTAGTATCTGTCTTTCCCTCAGGAGGCAGGGGTTTGCCCAGCTGATATAAGGCTGTGAGCCTCCAGCACCTGGAACAGCGCCCGGGAACAGCGCCCAGCATACAGCCGGCGCTCAATCTGTAACTTGTTGAATTAACTACCTCACTCTTTGTCTCCTTTCTGTTAACATCTATAGAGCAGGAAAAACCCCAAGCCGGCCCCTACGTTTTCTGATTCCGTTCCCCTTCCCCCAGTGGAAACCGGGCTTTTTCCTTCCAGGAACTTCCGTCCCCACCCACCATTCAGCAAATTCCCCTCAAGACCCCAGCTGCCCAGCATGGTCACTAATGGCCAGCAGTGACTTTTGAGCTCTTGAAATGGGTCTGATTCAAGTTGGGATGTACTGTAAATGTAAAATACATACCAGGTTTCAAAGACTAATAGGGGAAAAAAAGAATGTACAGAAGTTCACTAGAAACTTTTTACATCAACTGCATGATAATATTGGGGTCCTGGTGTGGCGCTGTGGACTTCAAAGTCGTTTGAACTGCAAGGTCGATGATTCAAGCTCACCAGCTGCTCCTTGGAAACCCTATACAGGGTCACTGTGGGTGGGGCTTAACAATAACAACAATATGATAATATTATAAATACATTTGGGTTAAATACAACACATTGTTAACAGGAATGTCCTCTGTTTCCTTTTATTTTATTGAATGTGGTGTTATATAAAACGATGTATGGGATTCATATTGTATTTTGATTGGGACAGCGCTGGTCTTGAGGAACCACAGCCTGGTGAAAGAATGATGATGACAACAACAACAACAGAAACACCAATAATAATAACATACTGACTGCTTAGACAGGGCTATACCTTTTAAGAGCCCTGAAAAGTGGGATTGTCACCTGTATTTTTCCGAGGAAACTGAGGCATGGAGAAGTGGAGACACTTGTCTGAGTTCACCCAACAGGTAAGGGACAGGCTGACCCTAGATGCATTGGATTGTCCCATTCTTGCACAGATTTGGGGCAAAGATGGACCTGTAGGGCAGGAGTAACTGAGGTTGGGGAGAGGGAGGACAGACTTCAGTAAAGGACCTTTCAGCTGAGCCCCTTTCAAAGAGAGCCCCCCAGGCCCTGCTGTCCCTGTAGCCCCTTTAGTATCTGCTCTCCAGCCACCACACGTCAGGTGTTAGCTAAGTCCAGGTGTTTGCCCTTAAAGAGCTTCCAGTAATGTTTTCGAGGTTGAATCTGAGAAATCACTCCCGGCCGGTGGGTTAATTTTAAGAGGATCAGAGAAAGGGGCATGGGATGACACTCAACCACACGGAGAGAATGTTTTGTTTTATTATCTCTCAAACAAACGATACTAATATTGTCATCATTCCCATTGTACAGATGAGGAAACTGAGGTAGAGGAAGACCCCCCTCTAGGTCCACAGCAGAGAACAGCAGTGCCAGTATTCCAGCTAGTCCCAGTCTTGCTCCTGACCCCTAGGCTCCTCGAATCTCTCCCTCCCTCCTCTCACCCCGTCCCCCCCGCCCCCCAACTCACATTGCCTGCCCCTTTCACAGGCTGACAGTTGCTAAAGTTGTTTCTCAAAAGAGCACGGTCTTTGCCAACGTTAGTAACTAGTTAGAGTGCAGTCAGGGTCTTCTGTGGCTGCAGGATTTGTGGTCATTGTAATTGTTTATGAATGGTGACGCCGGTTTTCCGATCTTCGGTTTAAAAAAAAAAGGGGGGGGGTGGATTTAGGGAGGAATGTGGCACTGTAGGATAAGCATTAGACCGCAAATCAGTTTGAACTGCAAGGTTGGCGGTTCAAACTCACCAGCTGCTCCTTGGGAACCCTACACAGGATCACTGTGAATTGGGACTTGAGGGCACTTAACAACAGCAACAGTGCTACCAAGGGTGGGATGGGTGCTGCATGAAGTGGTAAACGTTCTGGGATCAAATGCATAGTTTGGGAAACATGAACTTTCTACTCCAGTCCCCGATTTGATTTTATAGGTAGTTTACCTAATTGAGGTCCAGAGAGGGTCGGCGAGTTGCCTACTAAGGCCACAGTCCTCTCACAGGAATATACTCCTTGTCAGAAAGGCCCCTGAGAGGTTGGGAGCAGTCTAATGATGAAGTCTCAAGGTCTGTTTCAGGCTCTCAATGCCCCCCACCGCACCCCCTCCTTAGCAAGACCTATAAGAAAGCAGTATGTATGTTTGTTGTTAAGTGCCGCTGAGTCGGTTCCAACCCATAGTGACCCTGTATAGGGTTTGCGAGGAGTAGCTGCTGGTGAGCTTGCAGTTCAAACGGCTTTGCAGTGTAGGGCATTAACCCACAGTGCCACACCAGGCTTGTTTAGGGAGGTTGTTTAGGGAGGTGGAATTCAGCCACTGCATGACTGGCCTCCCTCTGGGCCAAGCCAGCGAGCTCAGGCTTCGGGGAAATGGAAGCCACATTTACTCTGCTGCCCGCCCGCCCACCGTGAGCTCACTGTCTAGGCATCTGCAGCTCCTGACCCCAAATCACATGTGACTTGCGGGAACTGGAGGCTCAGGTGAAGGGGGTTTTGCTCTCCTGGCTCTGTGGCCTCCCCATCGCACCCTCCCGGGGGTCCCTCCTGCCTGCCAACCCCAGCACCCCATGCCTCTGTAGAGTCAGGCAGGAAACCAGCCAGGGCAGTTTCACTTCCTGGTGCTGACACAGCCCCGGTGCCTGGCACCTTCAGCATCCTCCCTTTCTTTTTTGAATCACAAGTTCATGGGCACACTGGTAGGGGTCCTACCAGCAGTGGCCATTCCAGGCACAGAGGGAGAGGGATGGGCACGCATACTTTGGCCCTGGGGGAGGCAGGGGCTGCACAGCTTGGGGCACAGGAGACCAGCCAGCCCAGGCTGGACTCGCCCCTGCCCTCCAGAACACCCGGGCAGCTCACATTAATTACTCTGGTGAGTTCCACGTGCTTCACACTTCTGAATTCTCCACACTCCGGGTGAGGGAGTGTAAGAAGCCTCATTTAACTGATGAGGAAACTGAGGCTCAGAGAAGAGGCGGAAGGACTCATTCAAGGTCACACAGCCAGGAAATAGCAGAACCTGGCCTGGGGCTCTAAGTTGCAGGGAGAACAAAGGAACTAGCATAGGAAAGGGATGGGAATCGACAGGATTTGAGGACGTGGGGGTGAGGTGAAGGGGGACCAGACTCCATAGCTGTTGTGTCTAATTTCCTCACCTGTGGGGTCCTCAGAGAGCCTGCTGACACAGGAGTTCAAACCCACCAAGCACTTGGTGGTAGAAGCAGTTGTCTGCTTCTGTAAAGATTTACAGTCCTGGAAACCCTATGAAATCAGTTCCCCTCTGTCCTACAAGGTTGTTAGGAGTCAGAATCGACTCCAAGGAAGTTGGGTTTTTGTTTTTGTGTTTTTTCCCTTTTGGGGGTCTTCAAAGGGGTCAATCAGAGGCACAAAGGGAACCAATCAATGAACAGCAGTCCTCTGGGCTTGCTCGGGTTTGAAGGCCTCCTAGTGGCTGAGGGGAGCACCACATGGACTCCAGAGGTAATATTTGTCCAGACAAATATTAAAAGAAACATTTCAAAAGAGGGTGAGATCTTGACTTTCTTAGAGAAAGTCTTTGATTGAACTCCTGAGAGATCCACGTGGTTTGAAAGACTTCAGGAAACAGTTTTATAAAAGTAGGAATATTGAAGAGAACGTGCAAATAGGGGTAAATTTGTTTTTTTCCACAGGGGGTAGGAGGTAGTGGGGAGGGAGGGGGATGGGAGGGCAATAGGACCATAGGTCAGAACTTGCAAGTCAATAGATTAAGAATGATTTTGCATTGCTATCTGTTACCTACAATTTAAAGGGTTGTAAAATAGTTAAAAGATAATGAGATGGTCCGATAACCTAGAAGGGTGTGCTGTTGGTAGATGAAGCAGAGATATCCACTGATCTACACACTTGTTCTTAGAGAAACAATTTCTCTGTCCAGCCAACAACCAACCTTCTGTGGAATAGCTATTTTTGTGCCAAGACGTTTTCTAGGTGTTGAGATGCAGCAGGGATTAAGGAAAAACAAAACAGGGGGCAGCTTGGTGGCAAAGTGACCACTGAAGATAATCACATTGGTGTTTGAGAGAGAACAAGGAAGGGCTCTTTGAAGAGCTGAGTTTTAAGAGGTGGTGGTGATTAGAAAGGGATGCTTGTGTGTGTATGAAGGCAAAGGCCAGAGGGTACACCAGGAAGCTGGGGTGAGAAGGCAGGCAGGGGTAAGCCTGTTGTTATTAAGTGCCATCAAGTCAGTGCCCTGTATAGGGTTTCGAAGCAGCTGGTGAGTTTGAACCACCTACCTTGTGGTTCAAACCGACCTTGCAGTGGAGAGCATTAACCCACAGCACCACACCATGGGTAAGCCTGTTGTTGTTATGTGCTGTGGAGTCGGTTCCGACCCATAGCGACCCTGTACAGGGTTTCCGAGGCTGTTACGGGAGCAGAAATTCTCATCTTTCTCCCGCGGAGCAGCTGGTAGTTTCGAACTGCTGACCTTGCGGTTCGCAGACCGATTCGTAACCACTATACTACCCTAGAGGAGGCCAACTTTTATTTTCAGGGTGATGGGAAGTAGTGGCCCAGATCTGGTCTGGGTGGCAGAGGTAACCATGATTTCCAAGCGGGGACAGGGAGCCAGGAGAGGAGCCCTACCTATGAGGTAGTAAGACACCCAGGGGACGTGTGTGGTTGTCACCCGTATGTGTAACAGAATCATGACCTTTGATATGGTTTGAGTCCATTGTGGCTACTGTCCTAGTTCATCTAACTGACAGTGCACCTCATTTTTGCTGACCCGATTTCACCAAGTATGATAGCCTTTTCTAACAATTGGCCTTTCCTGATGATGTGTCAGAAGTAAGGGGGCTGGTCTCACCATCCTCGCCATCTAAGAATTCTTATATTTCTTCTAAGACTGATTTGTCCGTTCCTTTGGCAGTCCATAAAGATTTATCTTCAATACTCTTCGCCAATACCACAACTCAAATGTATCAATGATTCTTCTTGCTTCCTTTTGTCATGATTTTTCACATTCATGTGAGGCCATGGAAGACATTGGTCAGACTCACCTTAGTCATCAAAGGGTCATCTTGGTCTTTTGCCTATTTGCCCAGTGCCTGATATCATTTTTCTTGACTGATGCTTCCGTGGGCACTGATTGCTGATCCAAGTAGAGTGAAATCATTGACCACTGCAATTTCCCCTCCATTTATCATGTAGTTTATTGGTCCAGGTGTGAAGTGTGGTATAAGAAGCTCCCAGAAATGAGTGGGCTGGTTGGGCAGAACAAGATGCTAAGTGTAGTCAGCAAATCTTCAGTGACTCTTTTTTCCCTGTGGGCAGGTCTATGACTTTCCTGTGATGGATGCATACTGGGTCCTTCCGGTAGCTCTCCCACCCTTGTGAGAGTCAGGGCAGCCCAGGTTCCCAACCCAGGCTCTAGCCCCCAGGATTTCCTGCTTCAGAAGGGAGGAGGTTAACAGGGACGTTAACCTACCATTTATTGAACACCGTGTGTGGGCTCCTTGGAAACCCTATACAGGGTCACTGTGGGTCGGAATCGAATCTACACCACTGAACAACTCTGTGCTAATGGGTATTAGGGACTGTGTCCGTCTGCATGTTCTAACCTCAGAAGGTGCTTCAATCGGCGGAGCTGTTACACACTCAAGACCCAGTTGGGCACAAAAGGGTGTCCGGCATCCTCCCTGTCCTGCCAGTTACTACCCATCTCTCATGGTTTCATCTCATAGGAAAAGCTCAGCTTCAGCTCCACTGGCCACCCTTCAATCATCTCTGGCAGTCCTACCTCAGGGCCTTAGCATCTACTCTTCTCATATCCTGGGAAATCTGCATAGCTCAGCTCTTAATTCCCATCTCTGTTCAGGCCACGTCCCTGGCCACCCTGCTCTAGTCTCACCCCTGCTTTCCTTCCTTCCTTTGCATCGATTATCATCTGGCCTGCTATATTGTGTACTTGTTGTTAAGTGCCATTGAGTTGGTTTTGACCCATAGCGACCCTGTACAGGGTTTCCGAGGGTGTAAATCTTTACGGGAGTAGAAAGCCTCATCTTTCTCCCGCGGAGCGGCTGGTAGTTTCGAACCGCTGATCTTAAGGTTTGCAGCCCGATTCGTAACCACTACACTACCAGAGCTTACTCTTCCCCAAATTAGAATGCCAATCTATAGCTCTACCTAGCCCACAGGTGCCCAGGCACACAGTAAATGTTGAATGAACGGCAGAAGGGCCGCCATTTCAGCAGACAGGTAGGCAGTTCACAGGAGACCCAGGTCTCTTGAGGTGGGGCACCCAGCCCGGCTCCAGCCCTCCAGTCAGAAAGAGGGAAAGCACTGCACCTCACAACTGTGAGTTCCCCGGCACCCCAGGTTCAGGAGGCCACAGAAAACCACACACACGCATGAGTCTATCTTGAGCTGGCTCTGCAGCCACCATTTCCGTAGTTTTCAAGATGTTAAGTTAGGGTTTTGGGTGTGAGATTGCTCTTTGCTTTTATGCTGGCACATTAAAAAATATTGCATGGGCCAGGAGAAACATGTCAGGGGTAGGATTTGGTCTGCAGTTGTTAGTGACCCAAAACCTCTGCTCAGAGGTGAGGCTGGAGGCCAGGCCAGTTACCCTGGCCTCAGGGAGCAGCTGACTGTATGCACAGGCACCACCAGCTCCCTTCAAAGGCAACAGCTTAGTGTCATCAGTACAGCAGCTGCCAGCTCCCCTTGTTGCAGCCTGTCTTCTGGTTGAGGAGGCTGCCTCCCAGCCTTCAGCAGAGGGAGGGAGAGGTCATCAGGCCAGAGCTTCTGGCAGATTCTATCAGACGCCAGCAATGATTTAAGGAGTAGGTAGCCCAGGATGGTCTGGTCAGTCAAGAGGCAGTAGAATCGAGTTGAGAGTATAGCAGAGGACTGATAGCCATGGGTTCGAGTCCTGTCTCTGTGGGCCTCGTGAGGTAGAGGTGGCGTGTCAGAGCTCTTAACAGTGCTGGTAGAGGCCACACTGTGATGTGTTGCCTCTCCCACTGCTGAGGGGGTATCAGTGCCTGTGTTAGAGACAAGATGGAGCTCCCCAGTATTGAACAGTGGTGGGGGGCCCTGCTGTTTGGGAGGGGTTGTTTCACCTGGGGTCAGAGAGGAAGACTCTACCCCAGTGCTCGACTCCTGGGCTGGAGGTGCGGAAGCTCACAGTCCCTCTCTGGGCACATGGGCTGGGCTGTGACAGGCAGGCCAGGCGAGTCTCTCATTTCCCGTCAGCAGCTGCTGGGAAACCATACACAGGGTTGCGATGAGTCAGAAGTGACTCAACGGCACTAACAACAGGCCTGGCCTGGGCTGACAGGGCTTCTAGTCCCAGCCTCAACACAGGTCTTCTCACAGAACCATGTCACAGTGGGATGGACCACAAAGCCAGTTTTTATTGCTGTACGTTAAACCAGAGAAGACAGGACCTAGGGGCACAAGATGGTGGTAAATGTACCCTACTGGCCAGTGCTGGGTTTTCTGCCCCCTGGCAAGCTGACCCTCCCTCCACACACAGGAATTGCTGACCACCTGCTTGTGGGTTGGGCCCCCACTGAAGTCTAGGCGCCGCCCAGTCCAGGGAGCTGGCTTACTCCTCCCCACACAGTGCAGCCCAGGGGACCCAAGCCTCGGCCGCAGTGGCTGTGGCGCCCATCTTCACCAGGTGGAGAGTTTAGGAGGAAGTCTTAGCAGAGGCTGCCCCCTTCTTCTTGCCGGGGGCCTTCAGCAGTGCCAGCTTCTTGGGCAGATTGGTGTTGGCTTTCATCACCATGTCATGTTCAATCTTCTTCCGGATCCCAACCTCCAGTTCCTGCAGGGACAATCAGGGGACAATGAGACCAGGACCTCAGGCAGATGGAGAGCCTGGTCTGTTGGGGAACCATAGGAGCCAAAAAGACCTGGACTGGGAGTCTGGTGGCTGGGATTGGCAGTCTGACTTTTGCCCGGAACTCTCTAGAACCTTACCCCAAGCCCTCCTCATCCCGGGACCTCTGATTCTTAACCCCACGTGCATCTCCACTTTACAAAGGAGAAACTGAGACCCGTCCTGAGAGAACAGCTGCCCACAGTCACCAACCACAAGTGATGGACACTGGACTCAGCATGTCTGATCCCAGTGTTTCTAGCGGCAGCAGCCTCAGGTCCCATGTTGTCCGGCTTTACAGATGGTGAACCGGGGCTGATGTGGAGAGGCGCAGGAAGTACAGCCACGGGGCTTTGACTCAAGCATGTCTGCTGTCAAAACCGGTCATTCAATCACATTCCCCAAATGACCCCCAACCCTGCCTATATGAGTGTGAACGACCACCACCAGGGCAGCTAACCATGTGCCTGGGAGTTGGGCACATGACAGCAAACAAGACCACGGAAAATCCCTGTCTTTAGGGAGTTGACACAATGGCATGACAACAAATCCATCAGTGATAAAATACGGTAACTGGCTAAGGAGAAAAAGAAAACAATGGCCGAGGATGCCATCAGGGATGGTCCCAGGAAGTGATGTGTAGAGTCAGACTTAGGTTTGAAGATGCAAGAGCTGGTGGGTGGCTGGGAGAAAAATCCAGGTTTTGAAGTTGAGGTGTGAACATGCCTTGTGTAGTCAAAGACCAACCTAGGGGTCAGTGTGGCTGGAGCAAAGTAAGCAAGGGGTAGAGGGAGAGGAGGAGGGTGAAGAGATAGAGCGAGCCCTGCAGGGCTGGTGGGCCTCAAAGAAGGCTTGGGATGTTTGTATCCTGGTGTGATGGAAGCCCAAGAGGGACCTGAGCTGACCTGATTTGTGCTCACACACGCCCCCTGGTGGCTGTGGGGGAAACACAGCTGGGAGCCCCAGGAGAGCAGCTGCAGCACTGGGCCAGGTGGGGATCCAGGGATGGGGAGGAGAGTGGATTTTGGATTACATTTAAAGGCATTTGCATGGGATGAAGGAGAAAGACAGGGAATGAAGGAGAAAGACAGGGAATGAAGGATGACCACATTGTCTCCACCATTCCTGTCAGTTTGTCACTCTGGTGGCTTGAGTGTTAGTGTAATTCTCGAAGCTATATCACGAGATTTTGAATGCTGGGCAGGATCACCAATGGGGGACAGCGGGATGGACCACTAAGACTAACAAGGCAGAGGGAAGAGGTGGACTACTTCTGAATGTTTAGCCAGCGAAAATCTCATGAATAGCACCAGAATATTGTGACATGATGAAATACACCAGAATATTCTCATACGTGGAGTCCTTGTGTGGCGTGTGGGTTAATGCACTGGACTACAATGTTGGTTAGAATTGTAAGATCAGCATTCAAGCTCCCCAGCTGCTCCTCTGAAACCCTATGTAGGGTCGTTATGAGTCAGAACCAACTTGACAGCACTAAACAATAACTGTCATATATAGTGTTGGGAGATGAGCCCCTCAGGTTGGAAAACACTCGGAATGGACTGGGAAAGAGCTGCAGCTTCACAGTAGAGCTGACAGTGATAGCAGAATGGAGTGAAGCTTTCGGGACCCTTCATCTGCTGATGGGGCACAACTCAAAATGAGGAGAAACAGTTGTAAACATCCATTAATAATCGGAACATGGAATGTAGGAAGTACGAATCAGAGAAAATTGAAAGTTGTCAAAAAAGAAACGGAATGGCTAAACATAAATAGGCTCCAGCCCACAGCGATCCTGTAGAGAGGTTCTAAGGGGCGGCTGGTGAGCTTCAACTACCGACCTTGCAGTTCAAATCAACTTTTCAGTGCAGTGCACCATATCAGGTCTCCACATCCTAGGCATTAGTGAGCTGAAATGGACTGGTATCGGCCATTTTGAATCTGACAATTACATGAATTACATTTTGAATATGCTGGGAAGGACAAATTGAAAAGGAACAATTCATCAAAAAGAACATTTGAAGATATAGCTTGACGTATAATGCTGTCTGTGATAGGATAATATTCATATGCCTACAAGGAAAAACCTGCGTTATGCAGATGATACAACCTTGCTTGTTGAAAGTGAGAAGACTTAAAATATTTACTGATGAAGATCAAAGAGCACAGCCTTCGGTATGGATTACATCTCAATGTAAAGAAAACAAAAACTCTCACTACTGGACCAACAAATAATCTCTTCAATGGAGAAAGGATTGAAGTTGTCAAGGACTTAATTCTTCTTGGATCAACTATCAACACTCATGGAAACAGCAGTCAAGAAATCAAACGATGTATTTATTGCATTAGGCAAATCTGCTGCACAAGACCTCTTTAAAGTGTTGAAGAGCAAAGATGCCAGCTTGAAGACTAAGGTGCGCCTGACCCAAGCCATGGTATTTTCAATAACCTCATATGCATGCAAAAGCTGGACAGTGACTAAGGAAAACTGTAGAATAATTGATGCTTTTGAGTTATGGTGTTGGAGAATATTAAATGTGCCATGGGCTGCCAAAAGAACCAACAGATCAGTGTTGGAAGAAGTGCAGCCAGAGTGCTCCTTAGAGGCCAAGATGGCCAAACTTCGTCTCTTATACTTCAGACATATTGTCAGGAGGGAGCAGTCGCTGGAGAAGGATATCATGTTTGGTAAGGTGGAGGGTCAGAGAAAAAGAGGTAGACTCCCAGCGAGATGGAATGGCAAAGTGGCAGCATCAACGGGTAGTGTTTCGTTCTGCTGTGCATCAGGTCGCTATGAGTCAGTACTGACTCGATGGCCCCTAACAACAACAAGGAAGACCAGTTAATATTACTGTTGTTCAAATTTATGCACCAACCACTGAAGCCAATAATGATGAAATTGAAGAATTCTACCAATTTCTTCAGTCTGAAACTGATCAAACACGCAATCAAGATGTATTGCTAATTACTGGTGATTGGAATGCAAACGTTAGAAACAAAAGAGGAAGGAGCAATAAACAGTATGGCCTTGCTGACAGAAATAATGCTGGAGATCACACGATAGAATTTTGCAAGACTAATGACTACTTCATTGTAAATGCCTTTTAAACAATATAAAAGGTGGATTATACATATGAACTTCACAAAATGGAATACACCGAAATCAAACTGACTATGTCTGTGGAAAAGCTCTATATCATCAGTCAAAACAGGGTCGGGGCAGACTGTGGAGCAGACCATCAATTGCTCATAGCAAGTTTAGGCTGAAGCTGAAGAAAACAATTCCACAAGAGCCTGCTAGACATCCCATTTGAATTTGGCGACCATGTCAAGAACAGATTTAATGCATCAGATACTAAAGACCTGAGACTAGAAGAGTTGTGGGATGACATCAAGAACAACATACAGGAAGAAAGCAAAACGTCATTGAAAAGACAAGAAAGAAGGAAAAGTCCAAAATGGATGCCAGGAAGAGATTCAGAAACTTACTCTCCAGGGTAGAGATGCTAAAGTAAATGGAAGAAATGAGGAAGTAACAAAGCTGAACAGAAAATTTCAAAGGGCAAAGACAAAGTCAAAGAATGAAATGTGCAAAGATTTGGAGTCAGAAAATCCAAAGGGAAGAACATGCTCAGCATTCCTCAAGCTGAAAGAGTTGAGGAAAAAATTCAAACCTCGAATTGTAATACTGAAGGATTCTTAGGCAATACCTTGAATGATGCAGAAAGTATCCACAGAAGATGGAAGGAATTCAGAGTCACTATACCAAAAAGAAATGGTTTGTGTTTAACCATTTCAAGAGATAGCATATGATCAAGAGACAAAGGTATGGAAAGAAGAAGTCCAAGGTGCATTGAAGGCACTGGCAAGGAATACGGCTCCGGGAATTCATGAAATACAAATTGAAATTTTTCAACAAACCAACGCAACTACGCCAAGAAATCTGGAAGACAGCTACCTGGCCAACTGATTGAAGGGATGCATATTTGTGTCCATTCCAATGAAAGGTGCTCCAGTGAAATGCGGAAACCATTGGACAATATCATTAATATCATATCCAAGTAAGATTTTAATAACAATAATTCAAAAGTAGCTTCAACAGTACATTGATAAGGAACTGTCAGAGGGTCAAGACGGATTCAGAAGAGGACGTGTAACGAGGGATATCATTGCTGACATCAGATGGGTCTTGGTTGAAAGCAGAGTACCAGAAAGATGTTTACCTGTCCTTTATTGTCTATGCAAAGGCTTTCCACTGTATGGATCTTGACAAGCTAAGGACAACATTGCAGAGAATGAATATTCTAGAACACTTAATTGTGCTCATAAGGAACCTATACATAGAACAAGAGGCAGTTCTCCGAACAGAACAAGGGGATAGTGATAGTTTAAAATTAGGAAAGGTGTATGCCAGGATTGTATTATCTCATCATATTCATTTACTCTATACATTGAGCAAATAATCCAAGAAGCTGGATTTTGTGAAGAAAAACATAGCATCAGGGTTGGATGGAGACTCATTAACAACCTGAAATATACAGATGATACAACTTTGCCTCTGATAGCTAAGAAGACTTAAAATAGTTACTGATGAAGATCGAAGACCACACCCTTCGGTATGGGTTGCACCTCAATATAAAGAAAACAAAAATCCTCACCGCTGGACCAATAAATAACATCATGTTAAAAGGAGAAAAGATTGAAGTTGTCAGAGACTTCATTTTGTGTGGCTCCACTACCAACACTCATGGAAGCAGCAGTCAAGAAATCAAACAACATACTGCATTAGGCAAATCTGCTAGACAAGACTGCTATAAAGTGTAGCATATGATCAAGAGCAAAGATAGCAGCTTGAGGACTAAAGTGCACCTGATCCAAGCCATGTTATTTCCAGTAAGCTCATATGCAGGTTAAAGTTGGACAATGAATAAGGAAGACCGTAGTAGGATTGATGCATTTGAGTTATGGTGTTGGAGGAGGATATTAAAGGTTCTATGGATTGCCAGAACAAATTAATCTGTTGGAAGAAGTACAGCCAGAGTCCTCCTTCGATGTCAAGATGGCCATACTTCGTCTCTCATACTCATGCTACATTATTAAGAAGGACCAGTCCCTGGAGAAGATCAACATGCTTGGTAAAGGGGAGGGTCAAAGAGAATGGCAGACTCTCAATGACATGGACTGGCACAGTGGCAGCCAGTAATAGGCTCAAACATAGCAGCAACTGTGAGGATGGCAAAAAGCAGGGGGGGGGGTTTGTTCTGTGTACACGGTGTCGCTTTGGGTTGGAACTCACACGGCAGCACCTAACAATAACAGCAGTGTCTGGAAGGACAGAACATGCGAAGTAAGGCTCTGGTAGAATGATGTTGGTGGGCTTTGGTCATGCTTTTGAAGTCAGAGGGCTCTGGGGAGACTCAACAATTTGCGTGAGATCACAGGGCTAATTGATGTGGAACACGATTCAAACCCAAGGCGGACTTCACCAGACCACGGTTTAAACTTCAAACCCACCCACTCACACATCTAAAAGCTGTACGTAAAGACAAACACCACGAAAACGACAGACAGTAACAGCTCACTCCTCAGTACACACCGAAGCATGTTCTAGGTAGACCGTGGCACGGACTCTGTACAACCTTGGGAGGAAGAAGCAACACTGTGAATCACCTCAGGACCACACGAGCTAGTCCACAGGGCTGGAAGTCACTGCCAGCCGTCTTTCGAAAAGCTGGGGGGATCAGCCTTCCCCCAGGATGCAGCCTGCACGGGAGAAGGACCCGCAGAAGCACCGATCGCAGCGCACGTAAGCAGCGCACGGCGCACCCTGTCCGGCCCTGACCTCGCAGACGCTCGCCCTCCTCCGCTCACCTTCTTGAGTTTTCGCTGCTGCACTACGCGCGCCTTCTTGGGGGCGATAACGCGGCCTGTGGAGAGACGAGCTCGCATTAAGCCAAGGACCCCCGGGCCCACCTCGTCCCTCAGCGCCCCTCCGCTGGTACCAGCCCACTCCTTACCGCCCTTCCGCGGGCCTCGAGTTCGGTCTAAGGCCGTCGCAGCCGCCGCGGCCTTGCTCTTCCCGGACTTCTGAGCCTGAAACTTGCGCTGTCCCTGTGCCATGGCTGCGCGCGCCGGAAAAGGCGGAGGTCCCGGAACACAGGCGGAAGGCGCGGGGCAGGATGGGATATAAGGAGGTCTCTGGAAGACGTGCAGTCAGAGCGCTCCTTGGAGGCCAGGGAGGGCAAACTTTGTCTCTCATACTTTGGACATATTGTCAGGAGAGACCAGTCGCATGTTTGGTAAGGTGGAGGGTCAGAGAAAAAGAGGAAGACCCCCAGCGAGATGGATTGGCAAAGTGGCAGCATCCATGGGCTTAAGCGTGGCAACAATGGTGAGGTTGGCCCAGGGTCGGGCAGTGTTTCGTTCTGTTGTACATAGGGTGGATTTGAGTCAGTACAGACTTGATGGCACCTACCAACAACTGGGTGAGGCGCTGTAGGAGCCCTGGAGCACAATGTCAGGTTCAATCGCTAGGTCTGCGGTTCTAACTTACCCGCTACTCCTTGTGGTGCTGTGGGTTAATACGCTAGACTGCACAGTCGGTTTGAACTGCAAGGTTGGTGGTTCAAGCTCACCAGTCGCTCCTTGGAAACCCTCTAGAGGGTCGCTATGGGTCGGAACTGACTCGACGGCACTTAACAACTCCTTGGAAACTTTATACAGGGTCACTGAGTCGGAACCGCCTAGAGGCACTTAACAACAACATGGGTGCTACCAGGTGTGGCCCTGTAGAAAAACCACTAGACTGCTAACCATAAGGTTGTTGGTTCAAATCCACGAGCTGCTCTTGGAAATCCCATACAAGGTCTCTGTAAGTCAGAACTGACTGATCTGCACTTAACAACATGGGCGCAAAGGCTCACGGGATAAAGAGTGGCACAGAGTTAAAGGGACAGGTACCACAACGTGGACAACCATAAAAACAAAACACATTAAACCCACTGCCTTCGAGTCCATTCCAACTCATAGGAACACCACAGAGCAGAGTCCAACTGCCCCGTGGGACTTTCAAGGCTGTAAGTGTTTAGTTGTTAGAACAGAACATAGGAACACTGAATGGTTTAAAATTAAGAAAGGTATGTGACAGGGTTGTATTTTTTCACCATACTTATTCAACCTGTATTCTGAGCAAATAATCCAAGAAGCTGGATTCTATGAAGAAAAACGTGGCATCAGGATTGGAGGAAGACTCATTAACAACCTGCAATATGCAGATGATACAACCTTGCTGAAAGTGAAGAGGGCTTGAAATATTTACTGATGAAGATCAAAGACCACAGTCTTTGGTATGGATTACATCTCAATGTAAAGAAAACAAAAATCCTCACCACTAGACCAATAAATAACATTCTTATCAACGGAGAAAAGACTGAAGGACTTAATTCTTCTTAGATCAACTATCAACACTCATGGAAACAGCAGTCAAGAAATCAAAGGACGTCATATTGCATTAGGCAAACCTGCTGCACAAGACCTTTTTAAAGTGTTGAAGAGCAAAGACGTCAGCTTGAAGACTAAGGTGTACCTGATCCAAGCCATGGTATTTTCAATAACCTCATATGCATGTGAAAGCTGGACAGTGAATAAGGAAGACCATAGAAGAATTGATGATTTTGAGTTCTGGTGTTGGAGGAGAATATTGAAAGTGCCATGGGCTGCGAAAAGAACCAACAGATCTGTGTTGGAAGAAGTGCAGCTAGAGTGCACCTTGGAGGCCAGGATGGCCAAACTTTGTCTCTCATACTTTGGACATATTGTCAGGAGGGACCAGTTGCTGGAGAAGGATATCATGTTTGGTAAGGTGGAGGGTCAGAGAAAAAGAGGAAGACCCCCTCCAGCGAGATGGATTGGCAGAGTGGCAGCATCAATGGGCTCAAGCGTAGCAACAATTATGAGGTTGGCTGAGGACTGGGCAGTGTTTCATTCTGTTGTGCATAGGGTCGCTATGAGTCGGTACCAACTCGATAGCACCTAACAACGAGTGTTTAGGGAAGCTGACTGCCATATCTTCCTCGTGCGGAGCTAATGAATGGTGTATTTGAACTGCCCACCACAGGGCCAACAGGGCTTCTTGTCAACCATAGGCAGCATTGTGTAAACAATTTCAAATGAAAGGTCGTAAGGGTAAGTTCATATTTACAGGGCCCTGGATGCTAACCACAAGGTTGGCCATTCAAATCTACCACCTTCTCCCAGGGAGAAAGATGAGGCTTTCTGATCTGTAAAGATTTACAGACCCTAAACAGGATCACTATGAGTTAGTATTAATTTAGTGGCAGTGAGTTTTTTGTGCTAAAACTGTTTATGTTGTTGTTCAGTGCCGTCTAGTTGGTTCCGACTCAGGTCTTGCCCTATCCTCACCATTGTTACTAAGCTTGAGCCCATTGTTGCTGCCACTGTGCCAATCCCTCTCGTTGAGGGTCTTCCTCTTCTTCTCTGACACTCCACTTTACCAAGCATGATGTCCTTCTCCAGGGACTGGTTCTTCCTGATAATATTTCTCAAGTATGAGAGATGAAGTCTGGCTTTCTTGGCTTCTAAGGAGCACTCTGGTTGTATTTTTCCCAGTATAGATTTGTTTGTTCTTTTTGCAGTCCAGGGTACTTTTAGTATTCTCCTCCAACACCATAACTCAAATGCATCAATTCTTCTATGGTCTTCCTTGTTCAATGTCCAACTTGCACATGCATATGAGGCTACTGAAAATACACTGTTTTATGTTCTTTATATGTAACAGTTCAGTCCATGATCGGACTTGTGTGAGGTAAGCAAGGCTCTTACTCCTGGTGCAAAATTAAAGAGGTGCCAATCCTTACAGCAAGGATCATTCCCACCCCCTACACACATAGAATAGACAGGGATGGGCAACATGGACATTGGCTACCAAAAATGGGGGTGGGGGTGGGGCTCAAAGGCAAGAAGTGACTGGCTTACAAGCTTTCAAGAGGGAACCTAGATCCAGATGGTGTAGGGGAAGGTAGAGTCTCCACTGAGTAGTATCCAGTCTGCCTGGGTGGGGCTGATGAAATGAAATGCAGATAGGTCTCTTGTGATACAATAGTGAATAATTGTTATCAGGACTGATAGTGAGGGTTGGAAATGTAAAGGTAGACGTTTTATAGCAAGGAGGGGAGTGATTAACATTTCAGTCTAGGAGTGGAGGTCCCTGGGACCATCAATGGAGAAAAGCGGAGAGCGGGACCCTACCCAGAGAAGCAGTGACGCCAGAGACAGAGCAGAGATGACGTGGAGAGATGGGGACTTTAGATGCAGAGAGGGAGAAGGACTGTGTGCTGACGACCTGTGGGCAGGCTTGTAGGGTATATATACCCTTTGGTTGATTGATGATGCATGGAGGGGATTGTAACCATAGCAATGAAACGATATATGATAGGATGAATGTAAAACTAATGTTCTCCTATGTAAACTATCACATAATTCACAATAAAAAGTTAAAAAAAAAAAAGGGGTGCTTAAAACCACCCTGGAGCAGTCCCTGGAGGACATTATGCTTGGAAAAGTGGAGTGTCAGAAATAAAGAGGAAGACCCCCCAATGCGATGGACAGACAGCTACAATAGCAGCAGTAATGGGTTCAAATACCACAATTGTGAGGATGGGGCAGGATCGGGATCGGGCAGTGTTTCACTCTGTTGTGCATAGCGTTTCTATGAGTTAGAAGTGACTCAATGCACCTACCAACAACCCCAACAAAAACCTCAGTAATGAAGTTAAGTCATATTTTAATCACTTAGAAATAGTTTAAC